CCTTCCCAGCTGTATGGCTTTGAATAACCTTCCCAGCTGTACATTGTGCAATAACCTTCCCAGCTGTACGTTGTGCAATAGCCTTCCCAGATGTACGTTGTGCAATAACCTTCCCAGCTGTACGTTGTGCAATAGCCTTCCCAGATAAAAGTTGTGCCATAACCTTCCCAGCTGTACATTGTGCAATAACCTTCCCAGATGTACGTTGTGGAATGGACTTACCAGCTGTATGTTGTGAGTTGGCTTCCCAGATGAATGTTATGGAATGGACTTACCAGCTGTACGTTGTGGACTGGCCTTCCCAGCTGTATGTTGTGGAATGGATTTACTCGCTGTATGTTGCGGAATACCCTTCCCAGCTGTGTGTTTTGGAATGGACTTAACAGTTGCACGTTGTGGATTGAACTACCCTGCTGTACCTTGTACAATTTACTACCCAACTTTAGGTTGCGGAATGGACTACCCAACTGTAGGTTGCGGAATGGACTACTTAGCTGTAGGTTGCGGAATGGACTACCCAGCTGTAGGTTGCGGAATGGACTACCCAATTGTAGGTTGCGGAATGGACTACTTAGCTGTATTTTGCGGAATGGACTACTTAGCTGTAGGTTGCGGAATGGACTACTTAGCTGTAGGTTGCGGAATGGACTACTTAGCTGTAGGTTGCGGAATGGACTACTTAGCTGTAGGTTGCGGAATGGACTACTTAGCTGTAGGTTGCGGAATGGACTACCCAGCTGTAGGTTGCGGAATGGGCTACCCAGCTGTAGGTTGTGGGTGTTAAGACTACACCATGGTACTGGTACTTGAATTTCCATGACAATAACCAACGTCATGCTACCACAACATCTGGCGAAATGCTTCTCTTCCCTACCGTTTCACCAGGGAATCACAACAGCATCCAAGAAGATGGATACACAGCATCCTAGCAGATGGATACAACAGTATCACAGCAGATGGATACAGAAGCATGCAAGCAAATTAATACAACACTTTACAAGCTGTGAATATACATGCTCCATTGGCAGAAACTATGTTAAATCCTCCCATCTATAGGAAATGGTGCTTATCACAAATACGCCACACTTGGAAGACAGTACAATATTATTTTCTAGACCTATGTTAGCTCTCACATCTCACACCTGTATGTTAGCTCTCACACCTGACACCTATATGTTAGCTCTCACATCTCATACCTGTATGTTAGCTCTCACATCTCACACCTGTATGTTAGCTCTCACATCTCATACCTGTATGTTAGCTCTCACATCTCACACCTGTATGTTAGCTCTCACATATCACACCTGTATGTTAGCTCTCACATCTCATACTTGTATGCTAGCCCTCACATCTCACGCCTGTGTGTTAGCTCTCACATCTCACACATGTATGTTAGCTCTCTCATCTCACACTTGTATGTTAGCTCTCACATCTCACACCTGTATGTTGGCCCCACATCTCACAGTGATGCTGAATGTAAGACTGTATGTGCTACACTTGAAACCCTGCTATGTGATTTCTCTTATAATCAAACATTAATTAAAAGAATAGTTCTAATTGCCATTCTTATAATAACAGGTACGGTACTACATCTATATTATGGGCATCAAAAAAACAAAAAAACAACCTTTCTTTGGAAGACGAGTTGAAACGCACTAAAAAGTAAAAAAAAATAAAAAAATTAATTCATTACGCAAAGAAAGTATGTGCAGAATGGTAGGCACTCTATTAATCAAGAGAAAATATTTGTAGAATGGTAGGCACTCTATGAAACCAAAGAAAGTTGGTGCAGAAGGGTAGTAATATAAGAAATTCAAAGAGTCCAAATGATTCCTATTAAATGTAGAGAAAAATTAAATCTATTTCTCCTTTAAGAATAATTATTTTTAAAATTATTTTCTGCACATACAATTTTGCGCACCGGTAATGAGTGTTCAGAACTTTTAAGAACATTCTTTTACTTTTTATAATTAGTCTAGTCAGTATCATCATCATCATCATCATCGTCATGTTCCGTAGTCCTTGGACCGTTGGGGCGCCACAGATGACATGAAAACTCTCCTCCTCCAGTCCTCTCTGTTTTCTGCCCTTCGCAGAGCATCGCAAACTTTGAGTCCCGTCCATGTCATCTTCCCATCTTTTTCTCTGTCTTCCTCTTCTTTTCCCTCCTCTCCTTGTTTCCTGCATGATTTCTTTGGCAAGCCCTTATTTTCTAGTCACGTGGCCATACCATTCCAGTTTGCGCTTTTTTTACAGTCACCAAAAGGTCATAGTACTGCCCAATTGCTTGGCGAATTCTTTCTTTCACTTGTTCGTTAGAGATATGGTCTCTATAGCAGATGCCAAGAATGCTCCTGAAACATCTCATTCCATCGCATTTATTTTTGTTCAAGTTCTGCCATTACTGTCCAGGACTCACAGGCATACAAGAAAATGGAGAGGACCAATGAGCGCATCAGCCTGAATTTGGTGCTGGGGGGGCTATATTTTCGTCGTTCCATATTTTCTTAAGCCTCTTTAGTGCTGCTGTGGTCTGGGCAATCCTGGACATCAATTAGGCTTGTAGCCTTCTTAGTCTAGTACCCGCCTTCCAAAGAAAGTCATTTTTAAAAAAAAGTTTAAAAAAAATAGATTGTTTTACTTTTTAGTATTAAAATTCAAAATGTATAGCATACGTAAAAAAAAATGTACCCCCCCCCCCAAAAAAAAAAAAAAAAAAAAAAAAAAAAAAAAACCCCCCCCCCCCCCCCAAAAAAAAAAAAAAAAAACAACAACAAAAAACAAACAAACAAAAAACACTGCTTACAAAGTTTAGCTCCCTTGTATAAAACTAAAAAGTAGAATTTAACGACTGCTTGTCGTCCATTGATCAGAGTCTAATGGTCGAAATGCCTATCTCCAAAACTTTCCAATATCTCATCCCAAAATGCTGCAGTTAGGACTGATGGTCATTGTAAGTGAAGGGGTAGGGTTCTTGTTTTTTTTTTTTATCTCCTTTTCTTATTTCCACATCACTCAGCACCCCGCTCCCCGACCCAGCATACCGGAGCTTTAACTCTGTCACTATCTCAGAGGCGACCGTGCAGGTCATCACGAGGAAGACTGAATCGACCGAATGAGAGGGTCGCGTGTGTCAAAAACAAACAAAAAATTCGCTGAACAAAAAAACACGATAGATGGCGATACGAGACAAGATAGATGGCGATACGAGACAAGATAGATGGCGAGACGAGACAAGATAGATGGCGATACGAGACAAGATAGATGGCGATACGAGACAAGACAGATGGCGATACGAGACAAGATAGATGGCGATACGAGACAAGACAGATGGTGATACGAGACAAGATAGATGGCGATACGAGACAAGACAGATGGCGAGACGAGTAGAAAGAAAGTCTTTTTAAAAAAAAACTGCTGACTTTTGTTTTTTTGCAAACAGAACACGAGCGTGTTACGGGCCTTGATGGACGTCATGATGTTTGCATTTGATGAGTCGCCTAAAGCAGGGGTCGGGAACCTATGGCTCGTGAGCCAGGTGTGGCTCTATTGATGGCTGCATCTGGCTCGCAGACAAATGTTCGATTATAAAAAAAAAGTCGCATTAATGGTAAGAAATACTCATTATTGATTAGCAACAACATGACAATGGTGTTAAAAAGAATTCAGAGACGTAATTATTGCATTTTTAGTATTGAAATTACACAAGATGCACACATTTACTTGAATTTTTAGTTTTAAACATAATGTATGGCTCTCACAGAATTACTTTTGAAAATATGAGATGTCCATGGCTCTCTTAGACAAAAAGGTTCCCGACCCCTGGCCTTAGGTCATTCTTACCCATGGCGATATGCACTTACCCATGGCGATACGCACCACAAGAAAATCTTATCTGATCTCCTACCCCCAGTCCGTACTTAATGTAGTGATGTCTTTTATCTAGTGCATACACCTTGCTTTCAAAATATTCCAGGTTTAGACTAACGTTGCCAGCTGAGAAATCTAGGTCAAAGATCCCCACATTATATTGCAGGCTATTTAGACACCGAGGCTTCCATCTAATAGTATAAATACTAAAGTCGTGACAATAGACATGATTTTATTGTGTATTACACACACACACACACAGAGAGAGAGAGAGAGAGAGAGAAAGAGAGAGAGAGACAGACAGACAGATGGGTGGGTGGCTGGATAGATAGATAAATAAAAGCTTTTTATCAACAACAAATTAAAGAAACTAAAACTGATGTTAGTGAAAAGCTGATTTAAAAGGGTTTTTTTTTTCAAAAAAGAAGGTTGTGTGTGTAAAAGGGGGGGGGGAGCAACAATAACCCCTACATTTTGTAAAATGTTATGTCACTTACGATTCCCCAAAAGGAACCGCTGCACCTATGAGAGGTAGTATATCGAGTGCATCGTACCACCTGTCCTTGCTAGGCAACTGTTGGGTAGAAAGCTATAGCGGGTGGGATCAGCGGCTTGACTTGACCCCAAATCGCCCCCCCCCCCTCCACTGGAAAGGAGCAAGATGTACCCACCTTTAAATGTGGTACAGTCATTAATATTTTTTTAAAAATTTAAATGATGCTTGCATTAGGTAATGATTTATTTGTATGCATTCTTTGAAGAGGGTTCTGCATCGTGCGTTACGAAAATACTAGACATGACTGGTAACTCCCCTTTTGGCTCTTATCAGGCACGTCTTGACTTATCAAGATCTCTCATTCGATCGTCTGCTTGATTATTGTGATTAAAAGTTTGTCATCTATTTATATTCATCGTATTATTAGTTGTAAAGTTCACTTGCTGTAACAGCTTACATCAGAAAATCTCCAGACACCATCCCCTTCTACTTTCTATCACTCAGGAAATGTTCACTCCCTGTGCCTCTGCTCACTGTGGAATGAGTAATGTAGATATAGTACCGTGTGCAACGTTCCCAATATGTCCAAAATACCTTCCCCCAAAACAAGCGTGATGTGTGCAAAAGCTACTCAGAAAATTCTTGCTCCAAACGAGTGGTGTGCAAACCGGCACCATTTATTAATTTCAACGGTTTTGTCAGTGATAGAAGCCATTTCCAGCCCATATCACCAGACCAAAAGGTAGGCTTTTATTTCGCTGTGAAAATGTTCGGATAAAGTTTATATTTACTCTCATTTAATGAAGACATATGGTTAATATTAATTTCCATTGTCACTAGCATGCCCATTCAGTGTTCAACGAGGTTTTTTTAGAATAATTATATGACTAGAAATATAAGCAACATTTTTTCACAAAAATATTTTAAAGTTTCGTAAGCGAATTAGTTTGGAATTAACCTATTTAAAGGTTAAATTAAATGAGAGTGAAAATAACAGGTCACATGTTGTCCTTTTTATTCTTTCACTAGCTTCTCCTCTCGATGCATTTTAATTAACCAAGCATGCATTTAGAGCCGGCCCTACGGTTGCTGGCGCCCCGGACAAGTTTAACTTTAGCGCCCCTTTAAAGTTTAATTATAATCGTAAAAATTGTGCAAGGAAAAAATGGGGATTTCGTAATGAGTTCATTACCTAGGTTGTTTTTTTAAAACAAAGAATGAACAATAATATAATTTTTTAAACTTGTATTTGGACAGTAGGCCTATAAACAATTAGTCTACCGTCGGCAGTATGAACAATCAGCCTACCGATGGCATTTTTTTCTCGCCTTTAGATCAGCAAATCTTTTTATTGCACTTTCTATGTTTCTTTCCATCGCGCCCACATGCAATGATTTTTCCTATTATGGAAGATCGTCGATGGCGCCCTAAGCACATGGCGCCCTAAGCACATGGCGCCCCGGGCAACTGTCCAAGTTGCCGGTACCTTGAGGTGGCTTTTTAATTCAATAATCAATAATTTAACAGTTGGAGTGAATCTGGTTGAATTCATATTTCAGCCTGCTAAGTTAGAGTGAATCTGGTTGAATTCATATTTCAGCCTGCTAAGTTAGAGTGAATCTGGTTGAAATCATATTTCAGCCTGCTAAGTTAGAGTGAATCTGGTTGAAATCATATTTCAGCCTGCTAAGTTAGAGTGAATCTGGTTGAATTCATATTTCAGCCTGCTAAGTTAGAGTGAATCTGGTTGAATTCATATTTCAGCCTGCTAATGTTGCATTAAGAAAGAAAATATTCACCCCCACCTCCCTCATTAAAAAATCTGGCCTTTACAAAAGTAAAACATTGCCACTAACAGGAACGTTTTCTCAATTTCCAAAATATTTTATTTTAGAAATAAAGATGTGCTATTAAGAAAAATTAGATTTTTAAAATAAACAATATATATTTAAACTATACTTTTATTGTCATGTTTTTTAGGCGGGCTAAATTTATTTAAAACAGCAAATAATTAATATGTTAACTCCATCGCACAGCCGTGTTTTCATTGAAATGGTACAGGTGGCAGCATACAGAAATTCAAGGACAATTCATTTTCATTTTATTGTACTTATTATTTAACTTTTTTTTTCTCCATTTGATCCCTCGGCCAATTGATTCTCAAGTTAATAAATGCATTTAAAATAGCACACTCAAGCAACACACTGAAATAGCGGAAATAACGTTAAATAAGTAACTCATTACTTTCCAAAAACAAAACATGTAGGCCTAGCTACAGTTGTGCACTACAAACACAGAGATGCGTATATCTACCATACTCACGAGCAAATTATATATTCTTTCAAGAAAAGACGGGGCCATTAAAAACTTTTCATGGATGAATGTCCATTTATGTTATTGATATTCATCATTACCATAATGTGATTTGAAGATAGACTACCACTTGAGACAATGAAAAGAAGTGAAATACTTACCAGGTTGACCAGTTCGATGAAACTAAAACTTAGATGTTATAGGTTATATTACATAATAATGTATGAAAGTATGAGTGTATGAATTTATGAGTGTAAGAATGTATGAGTTTATGAATGTATGAGTTGATGAATGTATGAGTGTATGAATGTATGAGTGTATTAATGTATCAGTGTATGAATGTATCAGTGTATGAATGTATCAGTGTATGAATGTATCAGTGTATGAATGTATCAGTGTATGAATTTATGAGTGTATGAATGTATGAGTGTATGAATGCATGAGTGTATGAATGTATGAGTGTATGAATGTATGAGTGTATGAATGTATGAGTGTATGAATGTATGAGTGTATGAATGTATGAGGGACTGCGTTCAAGTCTGCGGAGTGAATAAATTTCGGAGCAAAATATGTTTAGGCTTGAAAAGAAAAGTAAGGGCAATTAAATGATATATGACATAGTTCTGACCACGGTATGTCTTTCCGTGGCCCGTTTTTTTTTTTTTGGACCACTTTAAAATATTGCTTTCATTGTTTCCCAAAATTAGTAAAAGGGTGGACATCTTTTTCTAAGCTGGGAAGTGAGTTTTAAAATATGGCCCTCTTAATAATAACCTGTTATAGCGCAACACTTAACCATCCAGACATTGTGTTTCTATTTTAATTACTATATTAGTTATATTTTATGAAAAAGGCTGGGGTGGGGGTGGGGGGAATATAAAGTTGCCTCGTCATTTCATATTTATATACTCCAAGGCCGCGGCAAATGGTTGGTTAAGGGGTTATGGTAAGGCTTTTCGCAGAGCCAATCTCAACCTCCTTGGCCAAGTTTTTTAGGGCACACTTTAGGAAGCGGCTATAATTTATACTTAACAATAATATAATAAAAGATGTGGCGCCCAAACTCCCCCCCCCCCAAATGAATTGATGCAAAACTTCTGAACGCCGTCTCTTTAATTACTGCTTAATTTGATTCGAACGTATTTTTTATTTTCTTATTCTATTGCAAGCATAGCTTAAAACCCATTAGCAACTAAGGGAAAACAATTTATTGAATACACATTCCATAAAGAGAACCAAATGCTTGGGTTGTCAAGGGCAATTTATTTAATACACATTTCATAAAGAGAACCAAATGCTTGGGTTGTCAAGGGCAAGGGATGTATTTCCTGGTGGGTCAACCTATGCGTAAACATTGCCCGCAGGCTCCACCTACCCCACACGGTAACGAATCAAGAAAAATTTCCGAAATTCTGTCCTAAAAGTAGGTCAGCTCCACACTTACCTACAAGACAGGTTCACGAGGTAAGAACATCTTTAGTACCAATAGAACGTTAACGTACAACAAGCGTGAGTCGAAACACATATACCCCATGGCATCTACCCCATGGCATCTACCCCATGGCATCTACCTTATGGCATCTACCTTATGGCATCTACCCCATGGCATCTACCCCATGGCATCTTCCCCATGGCATCTACCTTATGGCATCTACCCCATGGCATCTACCCCATGCCTTCTACCTTATGGCATCTACCTTATGGCTTCTACCCCATGGCATCTACCCCATGTCATCTACCTTATGGCATCTACCTCATTGCATCTACCTTATGTCATCTACTCCATGCCATCTACCTTATGGCATCTACCCCCTGGCATCTACCTTATGGCATCTACCCCCTGGCATCTACCTTATGGCGTCTACTCCATGGCATCTACCCCATGTCATCTACCCATGTCATCTACCTTATGGCATCTACCTTATGGCATCTACCCCCTGGCATCTACCTTATGGCATCTACCTTATGGCATCTACCTTATGGCATCTACCTTATGGCATCTACTCCATAGCATCTACCTAACGGATACAGCATCTACTTCAAAATTGCAAAAGCTTCATTTCATAGGGACAATTTTTTTCAGACCTTGCTAAATGTCCACTCGAAACCTTGTTTAATTAAATATTACATCAGTTTCTCATGGATAAGTCTCATAAGTCCAAACCTCGCCAACAACAGACTCGGGGTCATCTCCGTTCGTTCGGGTTACAAGTGTGGGGGAGACCACCAGCTGGGGTAACGATGCGCGGTTTGGCCGTCTGCCTCCAGAGTGCCGGGTCTTGGGAGCTAGCATTCCCTCACAAAACGATCTTCTCTCATCAAATAATTATTTCTTTGAAGACGTGCCAAATTAAGCGACGGAAAAAAAACACACAAAAAACGAGCTAATTTGAAGGATTTCAAAAAAAAAAAATAATAATAATTTTTTTTTAAAATCGTTAAGTTCCCACACTCACAGAGTTCCATGTTCAACTTTTGTCCTACCTTTGACCATATGTACTCAACTGTACTCATGGGCGCCCGCAGGCTGGGAGGGCAAGGGGGGCACTTGCCCCCCCCCCTGGATTGATTGGATAAAAAAAATTTAGACAAAAAATTTATTAAAGTAAAGAGAAAATAAAGAGAAAGTAACTAAGCTGATGTCCTGTCCGTTCGTTCACCATACAAATACGCTACAGTAAATTAAAACTACATTAAAACATTACTAAAAAAATTTTGCCCCCCCCTTAGAAAGTTAATCGATTCCCCCCCACCCCCCTAGAAAGTTTTCTGCCGGCACCCATGACTGTACTGCTATGTCAGCAAAATAAAGCGCAATGCCATTTCGTCATTCCTAAGTAAAACAAGCCTCGTTATTGCATACAACCAGGCAAACAAACAACGACATTTATTTGTTTCATACAATCAAGCCAAGAAGCAAACATTTACTTGTAATCAAGCTTTTATGAGCACTCGTTTTAAAAGTAAAGGTTGCATTTTTTGTCTGCCAGATATTTTCGACTTTTTTTCTTCCCCAAACCTAATATCAATTCCTTACGTACCTGTAGACACATAACGGGCAGAAGTAGATTTGTTGTGTTCGGTGATAGAACTACTGACCTTGACATTCTTGGAATCTTGACAAGGTACGCTGAGAACTTTAAGCTAGGTGTTTTCTTTATATATATACCGGTGCTCAACTTGAAAAGGGGGGGGGGGTGTGCTGGCTATAAATAGCATGCCCCACAAGGCTCCCGTAAAAACAACATCGTCTGCCACGCAAAACGAGCAGATCAGCTGAGTGGTTTTTGGAATCTTGACAATGTACGCTGAGAACTTTAAGCTAGGTGTTTTCTTTATATATATACCGGTGCTCAACTTGAAAAGGGGGGGGGGGGTGTGCTGGCTATAAATAGCATGCCCCACAAGGCTCCCGTAAAAACAACATCGTCTGCCACGCAAAACGAGCAGATCAGCTGAGTGGTTTTCATTACCTAATTACGCAACCGTTAATACTTTCAAATAGTGCCGCTTTGCATTTTCTCACTCCCAAATACTTGCTGCTATCCAGGCTTCATAGAAGAAACATAATTAATTTCAGTGACGAGGAAGATATATTATATTTATGTACGTTTAAAATATTGAAAAAAGATATAGCCAATGAGATGTCGCTTAACCAAGCTGGTTCAGGTCACAGGTCATTATTATTGACTCCTATGAAATTAAGTTGTCAATTTTTAAATTTAAAAAAAACAATGCAGAAAATGAATGCAAGAGTAACATGGCAAGTCTGATCTTTGTTCCAGTTTATCCACACCACCCCAATGTTTTTCTTTCTTTCTTAAAAATAATTGTGCCGTTTAAATAAAATGCTTTTGTAAGAAATCCGCAAGAAAAAACGAACCATTTTGGGTAGAGGATTCACGGTTCTTACTTTGGTGAACGCAACATGACGCAATTCTGGCAAAGTTGCATTGAACTGTTACTCATTTATATGAAGGCCAATGTCACTGCTGGTGGTAAACAATCATCAAGGGCAATGCCAGCGAGAGCCAAGGCTATAAATAAATCAAGGGAGTTCACCTTGACGCCACATTTTGAAAAGCTGAGACGGAAGGCTGCATAGTTGAGGATAAAGGGAGGGAATAGGGGGGGGGAGAACACCCTGAATGTCCCATCCCCAAGTGACCTTTAGGTTCGCTAAATATAGAACATAGAGGAAAGAGGTGATCAAAAGATAGCCTATGGCCTTATTTACTTTGAGCATCACATCTCTTGGAGATGTTACTAAGGCAAAGAATGTGTTAAAGCAGGCCTGCACAACTCAAAATGCAAGGCGGGCCATAATAATTTATGAAAAACCTGTGCGGGCCGTAATACTTAATGAAAACTTGTGCGGGCCGAAAGATGATAGGACAGGGAGGAGAGATATTTAGAAAATAATTACAATAAAGAATATTCCGTTACTTCGCGGGCCACCAAGTGCGTGCTGGCGGGTCACATGCGGCCCGCGGGCCATATGTTGTGCAGGCCTGTGTTAAGTTTTCAACAACAACAAAAAATAAATAATAATAATAATAAAAATATGTTTTTTAGCAGATATAAACATTATTACCGGTTGAAATATGAATTAAATTTACTAACCAGTAGTTTGTAAATGTTTATTCTGGTGCGGCTGTGTAGACAGCTGGTGGGAGGGTGGGTGGGGGTGGTGCTTTGGCACATTTTAAAAGGGGTGTGTGGCGAGTGTAAAAGCCAAGCTCAAACGCTATTTTTAGTAGCGTGTATATTTAGAATCCCTTGACATTTATCTCTCTGGGCTGAGGCCCGTAAGAGTTGTTTAAAAATCTCGATTGGGTGGCGTATTCTATTTACACGGGTGAGGGATTTGTCAACGCATTTAGTTGTTAGTCATACAACATACATGTTAGAGACACCGCACCACCGGACTGGATTGACGGTATAAATATTAAGTTCCGTCCTCTATCAGTACCAACACAATGGTTTTAATGAGTTTTATTAGATATAATTGTTATTTTCCATTTAAATATTCAATTTATTAAGATAACGGTCTCTCATGTCGTGACCTATAGCATCGCCCTTTGGTTTCATGCAAAAGTAGATGATTTTGGAACAGTCAAATGACCTACTTACCGTACTGAGTTACTGCAGATCTGTTTTCTTTGGACTTATCCCGTGGGAAGTTACCAACAAAACATGACTCTCAAATGAGGGAGAAAAGAAAAAGCTCCACACTCCCATTATAACTGGAGCAAACCAGGTGGAAATTGGGACTTTGGGGGTTTCCGAAGACGGTACGCTCTTGAAAGCAACCGAGCAGGGAGCTTGGCACGTGCCCAGGGTAAACACGTAATCGACTTCACACTTCCATCCGACGGCGAGGGATCGGCACAATTATTTGATGTGATGAACGCATCGCTGTAACAATCGCTTTGCCCAACTGCTCCCGTCGGATTCCGCAGTTGTATCACGTCCGAACGACGGGGTCCAGGAAATTGAAACAATCGTTTAAATAATCCGAGATTGTAAGAAGCTTTCAAGTAAAATATCGTTTAAAAACTATCTGTTTTGAAAATTTTCATCAACTTCTGAACACGCTAACACTACATATGTGTACTATGTACAGTGGCGTACCTTAACTAAATGCCACCCTGAGCTAACACCAAAAAAGTTTGTGCCCTCTGGAATACGTTTAATATATGTTGGTAATAATCATTAAAATGTGCCACCCGGGGCGTTACCCCCCCCCCGATACTCCACTGACTACATAGGCAGGGGGAAGCATGCGCCCCCCCCCCCTTTCCCAGCGTACTTAGATTGATTAGAGTTGTTTGAAATGCAATAAATCTAACTTTAATAGTCTATTTTTAACTTTGTTGTTGTTGCTATTTTCCACCCCCCTCCTCCCAGTTTTTCCACACTCAGCAGGTCAAAATGCCCTTCAAGCCCCCAGAACAAGCCAAATGCCCCAAGTGTGGCAAGAGCGTGTACGCTGCCGAGGAGAAGGTGGCCGGAGGGTACAAGTTCCACAAAGGCTGCTTCAAGTGCAGTAAGTCATAGTGCGATTTCAATGTTGAAAGGATGATAAGACTTGGATCAGATGATAGTGACACTACGAATAGCACACTATTTAGCCACCTTTTTAAGTCACCAAGAAACATTTACCGCGTAGTTGTATTGTAATTGTAATAATAAGATTGAAATAAGAACGTGTATTGTATTGGTTTTTATTTATCTATTGTCTGAACGTGATGTAGGTACGAAAGCTGTCCCATAGTTGACATTTGCGACACTATAAGTAGCGAGTTCATTAGCAGGAGAGTCTTGCAAAACTCTGGATGCAGGTCAAAGGTGGCAAGGCGCATCAAAATGACTGTTTAACTTAGTTTAATTAAGAGGGAGTGTTTATTGACCGAGTCACACTGAATATTTCAGCTCAACTTAGTACAAATGCATTTATTAATTCTTCACTCAGATTTTTACAAAATTAATAAGAATACTGGATCCTCAAGTAATAAATAAGCTTCCTACGCGTTGGCACACCACATTATTTATCCAATATTTTAAATTTTTAAATTTCTTTCTAAACTTGCCGTAAATGTATCACACAAGCTAGAGCCCCCCTTCCCCCCTTTTTTTTTGGGGGGGGGGGGTCATGCATACAATGTTAAATATGGAATATATTTGCTTTGATGACTTTCCCCCTTCTTCCTGACCCACAGACATGTGCAACAAGTTCCTAGAGAGCACCAACGTGAGTGAGCACAACTCTGAGCTCTACTGCAAGCAGTGCCACGGGCGCAAGTTCGGACCCAAGGGGTACGGCTTTGGCGGTGGAGCTGGTGCATTGGGGATGGACAAGGGAGAGAGATTCGGAAACAAGGCTTGCGAGATGGAGTAAGTGAAGAGTTTAATATCAAGGGTGGTAACTTTGGTACTGGAAAATAGTACCGGGAGTAGTTTCCCTTGAACAAAACAAAATCATAAATTTAACTCTCAAAAGAAACAAAATAATTAAGTGTATGTTAATGCTAATAGTCATCCAATATTCTATATAGGCATACATTAAAATATTTAAGAGTAGGCATTGGCCTAGGAAGAAGCATTTTTTCCCCCTTTTTATAAAGAGTTGGCATTTTTGGCCAACTGCAGATTCTTTTTCCATGGAGGGAGGGGCAAACGCTTGGCCTGCCCCAAGCCCAAGCAGCACCAACCCTAGCTACGCCACTGAGAGTGGATCTGTTATTATTAGAGCAGTATTTGATAAATTATGGTAACTCTATACTATACTATGAATAGAGTGTAAATAAATGTGTATTTATCAATTTGAAAAAAACAAAAACAATGGAGGCAACTCACTGGCAACTGACTAACTCTATGGAGTTGTCTTCCCCTCAGTAACAAACCCACTGGCGATTCTTTCACTGGAGCTGCCATCTCAGGATCTGATTCTGGCACTGGACCAAAGTGCCCCAGGTGTGGCAAGACCGTCTATGATGCCGAGAGAGCCATCGGGGCTGCAGTGGTAAGGAACACAAGGGACATTGTTTATTTAGAGATGTGATAAATCAAAAGGTGGATTAATTTTAGCCATATGCCATATGCAGAGGTATAATTTATTATATATATATATTCCATATATTCATACATACATATAAATATACAGAGAGAGATATAAATATGTAATATATCATACATTTATGATTTCATTTAAAACATGTCTTTTAAAAGACCCTTCATTAAAACACACATATTAATGACGTCCTTCTGGTTTTATAGCCTTGGATCATTTTTTAAGTAGTCAAAGTGCTAATCTATTTCAATGTCCTGTCAGCGATATACAACCTTTTTTTGTAAGTCAAAGCATAGCCATACAAAGACTTTTAAAACATATTCAAATACATCGCTTTTTAAAAAAAAATCTCTCTTTATTAGCTATTGATACAAAAAATTAGTTTGTCACGGATATAAGCATAATTTTGGAATGCAAACAACTTGTTTGTCATACCGGTAGATAAAAAATATTATTTTAAATAGCAAATATTTAAAGGGTAAGAAGATATTAAAAAGAATATTAAAAATATATTTTATCACTGCTTACTTCTAGCCATGGCACAAGACCTGCTTTAACTGCAAGAGCTGTAAAAAATCTGTGGACTCAAGCACTATGGCTTTTCATGATGAGGAGGTTTATTGTAAAAGTGAGTTTTCTCTAATTATTCTCTTCAGTTTGGTTGTGTTTATAGTCATTAAAAACCATAACTATTTTTCATAAAATTTAACCAATCTGATATTTTTCCTCTACAGCTTGTTATGGAAAGAACTTTGGACCTAAAGGTTTCGGATTCGGACAAGGGGCTGGCACTCTGTCCATGGGTTAGAAAGATTCTTCAGTTGCATCTGTCCACTCGAGTAACTTGCTTTCAGCTAGGGAAAAAAATTTTCAGCTAATTTACTACAAATTAGATGATAAATGTATTAATGAAGATGGAAACAGCCCAGTTTCAATTTAAAATACTTATTTGTATTTAAATTACTTGGGATTATACAAATTTATCTTTAAAAATACAAGCTGTATCTAGTGCTTTGTCTCCATCAGATCATTACTTTTTTTTCTTATCTTGTCCACATTATTTCTTAGAATGCATGATCTATTGGATCTTATTATTGATCACATATCAATCATCCACTGTATTTGTTTCATTCATTTCATTGGTGTCTTTGATTCAAAAACTTTTTTTTTCAAGTTCCATGTGTTTTGAAAATATCTTCTCAAATTTGTCAACTGTGATAAAAGTAAACTTTAAAAAAAAAAATGATTACTATACTTTTTTATACATTTTTATACTCTTTTTCATAAAAGCATCAGGGTGAGACCTTGAGTTTACACTTTATTTTCTACCAACTGAATCAATTAACAGTAGGTGATACCTTTCCTTCAAATTAGGATGTGCACCAGATGCACAAAGTTTCCATTACTTTGCACAATATCATATTTGTTCAAAATTTAGATACTTTATAAGTTGTCTGTCTCTTAGGATTATCAGCAGTACCTTTTGTGGCACTAATCATTTATTGATTAAACTGTACATTAACTTTCTGTAACACCCTTGTTATTCAACAAATCCAGCATTACCTCCCTTGTCATATTTATTATTTACCCATTTAATTTGTAGTTCATTTCCACCCCAAATCCTCAGATGAGCAATGTTGTCTTTAAATTTAAAAATGAAATGCCAGGCGCCTGTAATGATTGTGCATGTGTTGGCAAGCTGGTGAGGCATGATGAACATCAAAGTCTGAAGTAAAAGAAGACTAATATTGCATAGTCAACTTGTCTCAATCACTTCAAGCTACTGACATTAATATTTAAAAGCTTACAATTTCTGTGTATATAATTTATTACTTTTTGTAATAAATGATTTGTGGCAAATTTTTTTTTGCAAACTTTGTGTTTTGTTTATTTTACTCTAAGCAAAGCTGGTTAAAACTGGCTTTTAGATAAAAGTCAAGGTTTATTTTTTAGAAATTGAAACTGGATTTTAAGAAAGAAAAAAAAAGTCATTAAAAAATTACAATATCTAAGTAATTTTTACAGCATTCTAGAATTAATTCTTCAATGAGTGCCTAAAACAGTCCCCATATATTAAGTTAATTTTTTTAAAAATAATCAACAAATATATCATATAAAATATATTTTTATGGATTGATTTGAAGTAGGGTCTAGAGTCCAGATGTTTATTTTCCTAAACTTAAAGATATTTTCCACCTCAACCGCTGTTTGATCATTAAACTTTCTCACTGGAATTTAGAAATAACAACAAATTGAAACAGTCATATTTTTTATTTAAAAAATACAATGAAACATTTGTCTTATGTCATTTATTTTAATTATTACTAATGAAGCAACAATTTTCCAAGCTACGTTATTCTTAATTATAAAATTAAAGCGAATCTTGCATTCGTTAGGCAGCTAACATGGAGTTATCTTCTCTTCGGCGCCTACATATTGTTTTCAAGCTGAAGAATATATGACCATTCCTCTGTTAAAAAAAAAAAATAATTCAAGAGAATTGAAGCGGTACATTAGAAATAAGAGATTATATATATTTTTTTTTTTTAAAATTCATTGTTATATTAAAACTAAAATATGGCTAATGCAGTTAATAATAATATATATATACAATTGAAAACCGGTTTCAAATGTGTATAACATTCATTTAAAACTACTAGTTCGAACAAGCTATGCTGAAATCATTTATTTTGTTTGCTTCCTGATGAGATCATTAAATAACAATACAAACTCTATGGCAATGTGGAAGGTCATCAAGAAAGACATTAAACTGGAATTATAAACTCTTAATACTTCAACATGTTCACACAGAAATATGAACTGACTAAATTAAGAATGCGGGAGTTTAATGTGTACATTAACTTAACCATGAACAAAGAGACAAAAATAACATTTCAAACAAACAAAAAATCCTCAGATGGTTATAGAGTTTCAACAGTCTCATTATAACTTTTTTGATTACCGGTACATTTAATACGATATTCAACTATCACTACCGATAATTAACATTTCCCAGTCTTCATCATGATAATGATCATCAGGGCAGTACTATTTTTTAGTGTGTTCAGTACAATGCAAATTAACTGCTAGTGACTCACATTGATCAACCTACAATAATACAACTAAAGTACGTTTACTGCACTGTTATAAAAATGCAGGTCCATATAAAAATGTCATAGAGACATACGTATTGATACAGGGTATTTCCAGAAAACAAAATGGTCCTAACCTTCAGTTACAGGCTGGACTGACAATCTGGCCCTTGTAAATAAACTCATTTTTTTCAAGGGGCCATCTCTCTGGACATGTTCTTGGTGAATCTTCTTGAGTTCGGCAAGAGAAATAAATCTTTTTAAAGGTCTGACTAATTGTACATCCACCATAAACCACTTTGGCTTATTTTCCTGACTGGAACTGAGACAGAAATGAATTAACCACACATTTAAAAACTGAAAAGTTTATGTTCTAAAAAAAATCCACAATTTGTTATATTTTGACCATAAGTAAATATAAAATTTTCAAAATGCAATCAATTTTCATAAATAGCACAATTTTAAACATAAATAATCTATTACTTTTTGGCACATTAAAGTGTGTAACTTAATATTTTGATTTTTACTTTTTAGTACAGCAAATTTTTAACATTCACTCTAACAGGATTTCCTATAATTTAAGAAAGTCCCCAATGGGCCCCGCATAATCATTCGTTGCTCTGATTTTTTAGCAAAATTGTTATAAAATAAGTAAAAATAATGTAACCTATTGTAACAAAGAACTTTGAAAATTAAAAAAAAAAGTAGGATAATAAGCCTGAAAATAAAATGCAAAACATGAAGTCATAAAGCAAATATCAGCCCTATGAAGTTAATAAAAAGTTTGTGAAAGTAAAGACTCATTCCATTCAACTACATTTCCATTACATATAAATTAATATTCAGGAATGTTTTCAAAATGCACAAACAAACTAAATTTTTTTTAAATTTAATTATTTCCAACATAAGTAAAATTCACAACCTGTCATAATGTGGGTCTTTGGGGTCAAACTGTGTGTGGTCAGGATAACCCTCTTTAACAATCTGGGAATTAAAACAAAGAAAAAAAGGGGAGTATTCTTATCAATTTAGCTGAATTATGAATCTTCATGTCAATGTATCTTTAATAAAAAGTGAATGAACAGTTGTAAAAATCTGTTAGAAGGTTGGGCACATCATCAAAAATGTATGATTTCTTTTAAATTTCTGAAAGGCTTTATTAACCCTCTTGACACAGAGCTCCCTCGGACTGTCTGTGCCAAGACGGAGCCCTTTTCACAATCCCTGCACATACTTTGCAAAATTTGTTATAAAAAATAAACTAATTACTTTACAAATATAAAACTATATATTATATTCATATAGGGCATTGAATGAACTAATCTTTATCAATCAAATTGAAATCTGAACAATTTATGCAAATAAAAAATCCCGATTTGCATAATTTATGACAACAATTTTTTCAACACTTAGAATAAACACGTCTTACTTACAGAATATTGTATTTTCCTATTGTTGAAGCCTAAATAAGTCCCAAAAACATTTAAGGTTCAACTTGCAAAAAATGCATAAAATATTCCACTAGTGGTACTCATGACTTTTGGAAGATTTCAAGGTCACATATTTTTAAAGCATTTATAGGAGTCACTACGTTAAGGAGAGGAAAGAAAATGCTATAACATGAAAGAACACTGTAAACTGTCAATGGAATCTGCCATTATAATGGTGATATGAGCAAGAAATGTGAGAAGCAATCTGATTAACTGGTACAAAGACCATCAGCCATTCGTCTTTCCCCCTCAGCCCATCTGTCTCAAGAAGGTTAATAACTGTTAATAGTTATGTTCTTTGACATCATAGCACCAGAGCCCACAATCAAAATGCTTTAACAATAGGTTTGGCTGTTATGATGACAAGCATAAAAAATTGCCAATTTGGAAAAAAAAAAATAATGAGGTAATTGGAATAAAAATCCTTTCCAAGAATTCTAAGTTCTACTACTTGTAATATTAACATCTTAAGTAGTTTGCACATATACAAATTATTAAAAAATTCAAACCTTGCAAATACCAATTATTCCTGGTTCTTTACAGTTGCTGTGATAAAAGAAGACATTGTGTCCAAGTTTCATTTGATCTCGAAGAAAGTTTCGAGCCTAGGTATGAAAAGAAGTAATAATACTTACTCTATTCAAGAGGAACATATTTTAAAAGCATACATTAAATGTGTAGCCTAAATAGGAATCATAGCATTAAACATAGAAGTGTGTGTGTCTTTCTGAAACTTTTCAAATCTATACATCTTTATATATTAACTTAGGTCACAGTTTTGAACAATTAAAATTAATGGACAAAAAAAGATTAAAGAACTTTTTATGGCTTTAAGAAAATAAAAATATTAATTTGTAAGAGAATTCTAATTGAAAATTACCTGATAATTTCTAACACCGTCCCAGCATTCAGTTTGATTAGGTGAAGATTTAAGATCATCAAAGCTGAACTGCATGTAAGATCAACATGTTTAAATTAAAATAACGGGATATATAAAAAATACATTTGTAAAGACATAATTTGTCACTTTTAACTTCCCCTAACAGGCAACATTTCTTAATTATTTCATTTGTAACCATTTCTAATTTAATCTTTTGTAAGCTTTATCTGAAATATTAATACCTTCATTTCAACACCATTTTCAAATCGGGAATCTGGTTCTGACTTAACAAGCCAGCATGTATATGCAGGTTTTGTACTTATTTCAGCTTGTGAATTCTTTACTGACTTTGAAGTTGACTGATTTGGTTTAGATGCACTGCCATTTAAAATCGGCGTATCTGATGTATTTGTGACAACTTTTGGTGCTTCTGGTTTTGAATCTACAAGAATACAAGACTTAATAAATACATTTTAATTTTCTCTACTCAAAAACTGGTTTTGTTTGAAATGTTTAACTGTGTGTGTTCTCTTTATTAAACAGTTCCATTAATTTTTCCATTAATTTTAATTTTTCAAAACTGTGACCTAAGTTAATATATAAAGATGTATAGATCTTTAACTGTGTGTGTTTTCTTTATTAAAGTACAAATTATTTGCATCATTTAACTAAGTTTTGTCTCAAGAAAACTTAAATTGAGATGATAACAATAATGAATTATTGCTTTAAAAAACCCACACTATTTGTTATAGTTTGAGCTTCAGGAATGGATTTTGACAAAAATTATTATATCTTACAATTAGTTCTTGCTTTTTTCGCTTTCCTGGTAGCAGTTGACCGAGTTATCTCTTCAACTGCAGTTGCTGTACGACTTCTTTTAGGTGCCATATTAAGCAGCTACTTTAAAAATATATGATAATATACATGAAAAGCGAATGATTAGGCCAATCATCTAATGCAATCCAGAATAATATAAGATATATTAAAATATCTTTACTTTGGTGAATTTTCAAATTATTTAAATAAATATAAATGCGATACAGTTGAAACTGAATCATTTACAAAAAAAACCAAGCTCAAGTGGTTACATAGTTATGAACTTTTTAGTGCAGACCTCAAGTCACTTTTTCTGCCATTAATTTTTCTCCACATTATTTTGTCACCCATTTTTCAGCTCATCACTTTCAATCATATTTCTTGCATACTTCTCATTATAAAACTGTCATATTTACAGGATTTGTTGATATTATATAATAATAAATGGAAGTATGAAATATGCTCTAGAAACCCATTTTATTTAAATAATTATTTCAATGTAAGATACTATTTTTTCCTATATAAATTCAAGAAACTGAATTTTTAGAGTACAAAAATAACAAAATATAAAAGATACAAACCTCAAACTTGGTGTGGTGTTGCAACTTTTTAATTATAAAAGCAAGCAATTACTTATATTTATAAAAGAAAACAAAACAACATGACATTATCAGTAATTCTTACACCTATTAAAATCAAAGGGTCAGACCTACTCATGAAATTTTAAAATTTGAAGCTGCATAAATTTATCCTTATTTTTGGCTCCTTGAATTCAAGCAAAATTTTGATATTTAAAGTCATTTGAGCCATTAACATTAACTTGGACTGAATAAGTAGGCTACACCAACAGCATCTAACTTTACTCAAGCAATTTATATTGATTTGAAAGATTTGCCAGTAATTTTCTTTGAGGACACCTTTGCCTTTGGAAATTAATGCGATAGTAATAGACTTATTGGTAATTTGAAATTTGATTGCTTAATATTTTGTGAAATATTTAATTGTGGTCACATTGATTTTATATTTACTTAATTATTTCAATATCAAAGGTAAGTTGTGTTTTTTTTTATTTGCATAAACAATAAGTAGAATTACTATAATTATAAAGATCAATTACATTACCATTTTATAATAGTATTATTACTATTATTATACTTTTACTAGGCCTAATTAAGTCAGAGACAAGTTGTTATCAATCCCATGTCCATGGCAACCAACCCCAAAATTTAAAAAAAATGATATTTGATAAGCCAATAATTATAATAATTTATACTATCAAACATTATTTATTTATTTAATTTAAAAAAAAAATGATTTATCATTAGTTACATTTCACATTTATATTCTGGGTAACCCATTTAATGAATCATTTACAACCCCACGACCAATATTGATAATATTAATATGCAGACAAGCATGGTCAAAATGATGACAAATTACATAGCCTAAGAAAGTGAACTCTTTGTTTTTTGCTTTGACCCCTCCCTGCTTATGGCTACAGTCTACACTCACGAATTTTAGATGTTATAAATGATGTAATTTAAAAATCATCAGAATCAATTTAAGAAGCCTTTTTTTATTTTAAAAATTATAGTTGACCAGTTTTTTTTTAAATTATTGATCAGTAAAGTTCACCTGTTTTCAACTTCAATTTCCAAGATCAAAGCTTTAACTTAACTTTAAATTCAAAAAAAAAATTTCAAATAAATTCTCATTTGAACAAGCAAGATGTCAGCTTTATCTTTACTTCAGTATAATGAGCCTAAGAACAAAGTAAATAAATTATACACTGCACTCGCTGGTACAGAAACACTGCACGCCATCTACATTATTTTATTAATTATAATGTTATATTGTAGTTTAGTCTCCTGCTGAGTAACTTAGATAGTCTGCCCGCAGGTAGACTGTAGAGTAGGGTGACCAAATCATGATTTGGAAAAAACGGGACGCTTTCAAGAACGGTTGTTTTGTTGTTTTTTTTGGGGTGGGGGGATACCCTCCAGTTAAAGAGAGGTCCGGGGGCCACGGCCGCGAACTGTTTATTAAATATGCTCATTTTACTATGAAATCTAACCTAAAAATCTACTTGGGGCACTCAGTCTTTTCCAATGTTTCACTGATGTGATGTGTTGTTTTATGTCTGAACGTCCACCGTGACCAATACTAAAAACATTATTGCAAACTGTGCACTCGTCTTCACTTTCATAGCGTCCCTTTTTAATATAGTTCCACTCTTTGGAATACTCATCCGTAAACTTACATTGACGCTTGGGCACCTTATATATGTGTGTGTGTATGATGATGACGTTACTTGCAATAATTGATGTATCCTACTTATCCTCAATCACAGACGTCAATTAATAGTTAACAGTAAAACATGACTTACAACTTTTGCATCACTATACATGTATTACTTGAATACGGCACATCACATGAATAAATATCACTGAAGATCATAGTAAATATAAGTTTCACATTTATAACTTCTTCGTTACACTTCACAAATGAATATGGCCAGGGCCAAATATATATGAATCCCTGCAAAAACATTCATGACCGTTACTCTTTTCTAAATCCCATAATTCCTAACTTCCTGTTATTTCTATTTTACAAAACAATAAATTATTTTACTAAACAAAATTGATATCTGAGTATTAGATCTGTGACAGTTTACATAAGAAGTTAATATAAAATTAAAGAATAAAGTTCAACACCCAAAACAAACACTTTTCATTCTGACACGAATAGGCCGGTAGGGATCACACATGAGACTAACACATTACACGTAGGGGTCGTGGATTCAAAATTGTTTTCTGCACAGTTACATCCCCCCCCCCACTTGCGGCTTCAAGTCTCGTGTCTTTCGCTTTACATTTACGTATAAGATCTATGGTAGGGACACTGTCGTGGAGAAGGAATGGTGCAGCCATCACACAAGCCCACATCACAACTGGCACTGACTACACAGCTAGCCAAAATATTATTTGAAGTTATATTATAATTTAGGAAGTTTTAGTGATTAGAAAATGTGTTTGGTTAAAAGCATGGGATATTCAGGCGTCCCGAGAGACTTTTTCGGGGCAACGAGTACGATCGTGAAAAACGGTACAATCCCGTTTTAACGGGACGTTTGGTCACCCTACTGTAGAGCCATCACATGGGCCTGCAACCCCCACCAGCCTCTGGTCCAGGGTTTCTTTCAGCTATAGCTTCAGCCAAGTGCCCCCCCCTGAGCAAAAATATGTCCAACAATAAATCAGCTGGCACTGCCCCCCCCCCCCGAAAAAATCTGAAGTGTGCACCCCCCTCCCCCCAGAAAATTTCTGAAATAATCACTGCTCTGGTCCAACTTCTAATTAAAGTTAACACTTCTTCAAACCCACACTTTCCCTGATCAAGCATCTGCACAAAAAATGATATTAAAATGAGGACTAATTTACATTCAGTGTGCTGCTTTGTGCCTCTTCTTTCCTACCATTGAACATCCTCCATTTAGAATTATTATTATTAATATTATCAAACTAAAACTTAAGAAGGCAACATATATTATATAGTCTTATACTCTTATTATGTCTTATATTTATAACTTATAGTATAATAATAATAATAGCTAATTTTCTTGAATGAATAATATAATATTATAGAAATTCCCATATAAGAATGACTGGACTGACATAGATTTAGATACACTACTCAGCATGAGAAATCACTGAGTGTAAATCAGAAATGTTAGTTTAGACTTAGAAGAGTCAGAAGACTAGTCTATGACAATCCGGGCCACACAATTCATATTTTTCATCATAATTTATAATAATTATCATTCATATTCAGTATTCATTCACATCTCACACAGAGTTACTCAGAGTAACATCAGGTCATCATGGTTTAGTATAGTAAGGGGTAATAAGGGGAGAGACTGCAATCAGGTTAGTACAAAATAAAATGTGTAAAACAGAGTAGTGTTAAACCTGAAAAAATAAACGCAACAAAACAGCGAACGTGTCGGCAGAAAGCCTTCGTCAGCGAACAAAACAACAGAAAAAACGGTATAAAAATAAGAAATAGCACTTAGCTGGTAAGTAGTATCTGTGGGCAGCAATAGAAGTGTGGCAGAAGGAAAATGAGTGAGAGTTTAAATAAGCAGCGGCGAAAAAAAGGGGGGAGAAAAATGTTCACTGTGATAGGTCAGAACGTGGAGGGGCGGAGCTAGGGTCAAGCTGTGAACAGAGACATAACATTAATCCCATCTGGCGTCAAAGTGCCGTAAGTCAGGATAAGTCTGTGTTCCAAATTGACCTGTGATAGGTCAGAACGTGGAGGGGCGGAGCTAGGGTCAAGCTGTGAACAGAGACATAACATTAATCCCATCTGGCGTCAAAGTGCCGTAAGTCAGGATAAGTCTGTGTTCCAAATTGACCCGGCTGGCGGTGTTCGTGCTAGCCACAATCGCACTTATTGAAAAGTCCGCCTTGCCCTGGTGGTCGCTACTATTGAAGTGTTTGGAGACGGGACACTGTTTATCTTGTGTAATGTTTCGGAGGTGTTCGGTACACCTGTCCGAGAGACGGCGTCCAGTCTCCCCTATGTATGTCATCTGACAGCGGGTGCAGACAATGGCGTAGATAACGTTGCGGCTTGTACAGAGGAAACCGTCGCGTATCTGAAAACTGCCCTTGGGGAAACGTATGCGTTCAGTCTGGACGACAAAAGGGCACGTGTTGCAACGACTGCGTCCACACGGCTTGGTCCCAAAGTGGGATGGGGGAGCATTGATACGACTGCGTACAAGGAGGTCTCTCAGATTTTTATCCCGTCTGAAAACAATGAGAGGTGGGGAAGAGAAAATTTCTCGTGTGTCGGTGTTTAAGGAAAACACGTTTAGCAATCAGATTGTGAGGGTGATAAGTTAAAATGAGTTTTATCCTGTCAACATTGTCGCTCAGACGTGGTCTGAAGGCATCAGCACGTGTAATATTCTTAACCCTTTGGAGGGCTGATGAAAGTACTGTCTCCGGGTAAGACCTACACTGGAAAAAGTCTATCATTTCAAGTGCCTTGTCCCAAAATTCCTCATCCGACCGACAAAGTCGACGAAGACGAAGTAATTGAGAGAAATGAATAGAGTCCTTACAGGATTTAGGGTGGGATGAAGAGTAGAGTAGATAGCTATGGCTGTCAGTGGGCTTAAAGTAGGCAGAGGTGTGTAGGGTGTCTTTGTGAAGAGTGACTGTAATGTCTAAGAAATTGACTGAGGTCTCAGAGATAAGAGATGTGAATTTAATGGAGGGGTGAAAGGAGCCTACAAAGTTAATGAACAGGTCAAGTTCACTCCTCTCCATAGTGGTGACCCCTATACCATCATCTATGTACCTCTTATAGAATTCAGGGAGGCGTCCAGTATAGCTGCTTTCGACCAGGTGTTCGAAATGCCCCATGAACAAGCAAGCATAGCTGGGTCCCATTTTAGTCCCCATAGCAACACCACTGATTTGGTCGAAGAATTGGCCACCAAACTCAAATGAATTGAGGGTGAGGACTAGTTCAGCCAATCTGAGGAGGGTGTTGGTGGGTATAGATGGGTGGGGTCTAGTCTTGAGAAAGAATTTGAGAGCTAAGAGACCGTCAGTGTGGGGGATGGAAGTGTATAGAGAACATACATCAAGAAGAAATAGATGATGTTTCTTTTCAGGAGGGATTATGATGGATTCAAAGGTTTGTAGAGCATGGTTGGTGTCCTTAATGTAAGTTGGCAGTGAGGCAACGATGGGTTGAAAAACTCCATCAAGGAATTCCGAGATATGTTCGGTGGGGCAAGAGCATGCTGAGACAATGGGTCTGCCAGGGTTACCATACTTATGAATTTTGGGAAGTAGGTAGAAGCATGGCTTACCGAGGTCACTATCGAAGATGTGTAGGGCAGAGGCCGATTTGGGGAGCGCTGATTCTGCAATCATTTTCTTGATAGTCCCTTTCACCATGTCGTTATGTTTGGTGATAGGGTTGTTGGTCCTCGGTTGGTAGAACTGGCTGTCTTCTAGTTGCCTATGAGCTTCCTTGATGTAGAGATCTCTGTCCCACACCACAACAGCTCCCCCCTTATCAGCTGGTTTGATGACGATATCTTTCCGACTGCGCAGCTTAGAGAGTGCGCAGTCGTATCAATGCTCCCCCCTCCCACTTTGGGACCAAGCCGTGTGGACACAGTCGTTGCAACACGTGCCCTTTTGTCGTCCAGACTGAACGCATACGTTTCCCCAAGGGCAGTTTTCAGATACGCGACGGTTTCCTCTGTACAAGCCGCAACGTTATCTACGCCATTGTCTGCACCCGCTGTCAGATGACATACATAGGGGAGACTGGACGCCGTCTCTCGGACAGGTGTACCGAACACCTCCGAAACATTACACAAGATAAACAGTGTCCCGTCTCCAAACACTTCAATAGTAGCGACCACCAGGGCAAGGCGGACTTTTCAATAAGTGCGATTGTGGCTAGCACGAACACCGCCAGCCGGGTCAATTTGGAACACAGACTTATCCTGACTTACGGCACTTTGACGCCAGATGGGATTAATGTTATGTCTCTGTTCACAGCTTGACCCTAGCTCCGCCCCTCCACGTTCTGACCTATCACAGTGAACTTTTTTCTCCCCCCTTTTTTTCGCCGCTGCTTATTTAAACTCTCACTCATTTTCCTTCTGCCACACTTCTATTGCTGCCCACAGATACTACTTACCAGCTAAGTGCTATTTCTTATTTTTATACCGTTTTTTCTGTTGTTTTGTTCGCTGACGAAGGCTTTCTGCCGACACGTTCGCTGTTTTGTTGCGTTTATTTTTTCAGGTTTAACACTACTCTGTTTTACTCATTTTATTTAGTATAGTAATTAGTATATTATAATATAATAATATACCTAGGCCTCTACATATTTTTAACCAAGAATCCACTTAGTTTCAGTGAGTGAGAATGTTCTGCTCAAAATCAAGAAAAAATGAATGTTGACTTAATGTCACTGACACTGTCTGAGTGTCTGTCTGATGTTTTATACTGTTACTGTTACGATTTTTTTTTTTAACATCCCGCGAAATTATTCAAAAAGGTGCCTTAAATAAATTTAATACTTCATTACAAAACAAACTTTAAAAAATTGTACAGTATTATTTCAGTATTTATTTTTAGTACAGTTAAGTGTAATAAGACTATATTTTTTAATTTTGCCATTTTTTTAAAAGAATATATTGAATTATATATTTTTATTTTATTTTTCCCAATGAAAAATATATATAAGCGTCTAAGCTACTACCTGAAATCTGGTAATTGTTTTTGAATTTCCATTGTTTATTGACTGTGCGCATGCGTTTGTATATAGCATTCCAATATGTCTGCGCTTGTGATGTTAGTCAATTTAGAAGCTTCATTTTTGTGATCCATCAACATACAGAATAGTACAAAAATATATTTTAAGTGGTAAAAGTGAAATATTGTCATATATTATAAATAATTAATTAGCTTAATTATTAATAGTAAGTCGTAAAGTAAATTCTAATGTCAGATATTTTGCGTTGTTATGGACACATTTTACGATTTTTTTTCAACTTCATTTTAAATATTATTATACACTCGACGTTGACTTTTCCTTGTTGAGTTTTTTTTTTTAATTTTAGTAAAGTTATTTTGATAGTAATATTCCGGAAAAAAATTATTTACAATTTAATATTAGGTGTTGTGTAAATAAATTACTTAAACACAAACAATTTTTGTAAATAAAACAGTATTTGTTCAGCTTTTTAGTTACAGTTAGGCTTTAACTTTAACTTAACTAACTTTAAATTTAGTGAAATGGTGATTACAAAATACAAATGTAGACCTTTCATTTCAGCAAATGACAAAATGCCTTCATTAGTACTAAAAACATTAAATTAAGTATAAAATTAATTTATTTGAAAAAAATTGTTTGTGCTAATGAAGGCATTTTCCAAAACATCTACATTGACATTTGTATTTTGTAAAATCATCATTAAAGTATTTAAAGCTGAACATATATTTTATATTAAAAAACATATTGTTTTATTTGCACAAATTGTGTCAAATACATCTACTTTAACTTTATCTCAGTCCAACACTCTTATAATGTGTGAATAAACAATGGGCTGGACTAATTGTGGTCTGGTAATGTCACACATCTAGTAGGGGGGGGGGAAACAAATTTGTGATGATGTATTATGAGGTTGTCTAAATTATGTGTAAGTATAAGTTAGTATAACAATTTTGTGATCATTTGGGTGGGTTGGGTATGTTAAAAATTAGCCAAAATAGCATGACAATATGTATGGTTCCGAATCCAGATTCTCAATGTCTACTTTATATTACTATAACCACTATTGACATTATTGAAGAGGCCTATTCATTTTCATTTTTGTAGTGGTCAAAATGAGAAGTTAATATTAAATAGTACTATTACTAGTAAGTAATTGGGATCTTGAAAAGAAATCTCAGTCAAGTTAAATTTGTAACAGATAAGACAGATAAATGAATAATTATGCTTTAGTCTTTGGCCACATAAAATGGGCCTACATTACACTCCAGCCATAATTAAAATAACTTAGTAGTAGATGTAGGCCTATGTGAGTAGTAAGTAGCCATCATTATAAAACTAAAACTTATTAACTTTATAAGTTTTGTTCCAGAGAGTGGCCTCAGATTTCCAGTGTATTTGATGACATCTGATGGCAATGGTTCTGGAATGCCCACCCTTTAGTGGTTACGATTCTAACAGTTACCAAGAAAAGTATGCTTTTTCATTTATTAATATTGATTTATCTTATGAAAAAAAAATCTGAAACTGAAAGAAAGTTAACAAATTTTTCTTGTGAAAATTTATTGTAATGTAATTCTTTTGCCCCATCTTTGAAATTTTTATCGATTCAAAATTCAATCAATTCTCAAAATTTGCAGCATTATTTATATTCCAGGTATTTTAAATAAGAAGCAAATATAATTTTGACTTTGCCAGTCTTCAAATATTTTTTCAATCAAATTTGATCAGATTTTCATTTATCTTTTTTTAGTTTATTGTTATTTAAAATATTTCAGAATGTATTCAATGGAAATTGGTGGAGTTGAATCTGAGAGTAACAGTAATAAAAATAAGGCAGACAGCAGGAATTTGACTGGAACTGACTGTCGACCAACTAGTGCACTTGCCAGAGGTGTACAGATAACTGAGTTTGCTGAAAGTCGAGTTAATCCCACTCCCTGTTTCCTTGATGAGGCAGATATTTTGCTTGAGCAGTATTTAAGTCCTGGTAAACTTGTAAGTAAATTTTAAATCAATTAAGTTGTAATCTGCTTTCATAAATTTAGCAAATATAATTAACATTATTCACTACTTTTTTTAAAGCAACTTTTGACTGGAGCTGATAATTTGGATACAGTAGTGTCATTGGAACTCAAAGTTGACTCAAGGGAAACAAGTTTAGGTAACTTTGGGTCTCTCCTACCAAACTTGTTGGAACTCAAGCTTAGTGGCAGCTGTATATCTAGTGTAAGGTAAGTTTAAAGAGGAATGGTTTTAATTAAAGATTTTCAGTACAAGTAATCAAATACCGGTATCTAGAGCAGTCCATTAATTGGTAGAATAGATTTGAAGAATAAAGACTTGGGGCAATGCCTTTGCTCACAGGTTTTAATATTGATAGTTGAAAAAAATAGACTTTGTGATGTTTTTATTATCCATGAAAGTTCATGAAAATTTATGTTATGGTTTGTATGATGGAGCATTTCACCAACTCCTACTGGTTGACTATAGGTAAGAAGGCACACCCATTTGTTATGCTGCTTGTTGTTATCTTCTAATTAGTGTTAACTCTTTCTATGCCAGGGGGGTTTTCCACATTTGTGCCAAACCAGTTTTGGGCCAATGGAAATATTTTAGAGTGCTCTTATCAATTAAAGGAAATTAGAAAGAAAATAATAATATGTAAATGATAAAGCAATAAGACGATGATAGTTAAAATTTATTGGTAATATTATGAGATCAAAATTTTAATTTTAAAAAAACATGCACCAAATCTGAATTTATCAGACTACTATAGTAGTATATGATCTGTGTAGCTGGTATCTTATTTTGCTTAAATCTTAAGAAAGTATATTCATTTTTGAACAGAATGCATTTTACATTTTGAAAATATTCCATTCAGTGACAGAGTTACACACATTTTTGTAACGTTAATGTCAACAGAAGAAAACAGTTTCTTTGCATATGTATATATATACACTAATGTCAAACACTTTAACAAAATATTTTACTTGAGTACAAATTTATTTCTGTGTGATCCTTTCTGAAGCACTTCTTAACACACAGATGCAGCCTTTCTGTGCGTTTGATGCACACATAACAGCCGAGTTTGGTTATTTTGTGCACTGAACAGTATACACATGGACAATCATGCATGTCATAGTCAACCATGTGCTTATTTTCACTGAGATGCTCGTCTGCACTGTTGATGGGCTTTTTTCCCTGGCTTTGATAGGATGGGCTTTAGAAACTATTCTTCCTGCATCTTTTTTTCCCAATTTCCCACATCTCTTTGCAGGAACACAAGTAGTATCTGAATCCTCACTGGTGCCATATATTAAAAAAGTGGTTTTGAGGTCCTTACTAAACAATTCATAACTATTGAACCACTTGAGCTAGAAAGTTGAGCTTGGTGTTTTTGTAAACCATTCTCTAGGCTCTATACAGCTGTGGTATATTCAAATTTTTAAAAGTGTTTTTAAATTTTTACCTTACCAAAGTGCAAGCTGTCACCACTATTACTAAGATCTCATCTATTTCAATTTGTCATTTACTGACCCATCAGAAAGAGGAAAATCATCACTGGAATCAGATTCAAATGAATCATGGTTATTGTCCGATGTTTCAGCATCAATAATTCGCCATAAAAGCTCTATTGTTTGCAAACTTGACTACTTGCTTGGTCTTACAACTGCTGGCGTGGCCAGTGTTTTGTTAACATCAGTTTCAACACAAATCGAAAAAAAGGTTGCAATGGATAAACATTTGTAAACAAATCCTACTTCTAACAGAAAGGAAGTAGGAAGATTTATCGATCATTTGAGAACATAAAAAGTAGGATTGATAGCTGTAGGCAATGAAATAAACTGCAGAAATTTAATCGACTATATCATCAATTGGCACAAATGTGGCCAGTTAAATCGACACTATACGGTGGATTGGCACAGAAAGACGTAACTGACCAATGTAAAATAAATACCAGTAATTGTACCTTTAGTCAAAAATCTAATCAAGTTTTTTTTTGAAATTCATTGGAAATTTAAATTCTTTTTTTAGATAGCTGATGGGGCATCATATAGATGTAGTCGAAAAATATCACTAGCTGGGTGGATACATTTTTAATTTAATGTTTGTCTAATTCCAGAGACTTGGGATCGTCTTTAAGAAAATTGACTGTGTTGTGGTTGACACGATGTGGACTTGAGGAACTGGATGGCATCTCATCCATGCTGTCCTTACAGGAATTGTACCTGGAGTATAACGAGATTTCTGACCTGAGCCCATTGGCCATGCTTGAAGAACTGGAAACACTAGATTTAGAAGGGTGAATATTTGTACAGCAGCTTTGGTTTCTTTTAGAACTGCTAAGTGATGAATTTGTTTATTTTTATTAGTTGATATTGTTAAACAATAAAAAATCCTTTAGACAAATATTTTTCTAAAATAACAATCAATGTTATTACTGTCTGCATTTATTTCTTTTATTTCGTTCATATTCATTTTAGAAATAACATTGATGACATCACACAAGTGCAGTATTTGTCACTTTGCCCAAAGCTACGATGTCTGGCTCTTGATGGTAATCCAATATGTGCATATCCTTCTCCAAGTGGTGAAGAAGTGAGTAATTATTTTTTCAGATAACTTAAATCTCTATTTTGATCGTAGATAAGGCACCAAGTAAAGAATTGACATATTTAATGGCTTGTGATGCAATTAAAATCCATACTTTTCAATATTTTGTTTCTGTTTAAATAATGTTGTATTCTAAAAACTACTTTCAGCAGCCTGATTATGACTACAGAAATACAATCAGGCAGCTTTTGCCAGATTTACTGGTGCTTGATGATGAAAACCTGGATAGTTCATCTCCAATAAAACATAATGTGTTTGATGAAGACTGGGCTTATCTGGAGGAGCTACAGAAAGATGTTTTTCTGCAGGAAGAATTTACAGAGAAGGAAGAAATAGGAGCCATTGGTGGAGGTGACTTTTGATAAGTATTGGTCTTGAAATAGGTGCAACATATTTGCTTTTTTTTTCATCATGCAACAAATCAAACCAGAGGTTCCCTCCCTATCTATCTGCATTTTTTTACAAATAAATTTTATGAAAGTTTTTAATCAGGAAGTTGTCTTTTCATTAACAGGGCAAAAATTTAATGTTTATAAAACACTAACTTTTGAGAAGAACTTACAGCATTTTAATTGTTTCCATTGGAACCCAACTTATTTGATAAGTAGAAGATTTTTAACGACACAGAACATTAAAATATAATTTTATTTTACAAAACAATGTTTATCTTCTATTTGTCAGAGCGCCCTTCTTCAGCTGCCTTACGGCCAGCTACGGCATATCGGCCTGGTTCAGCTCTGAGGCCCTCTTCTGGATTTCGTCCCTTGTCTGCTTCAAAACAGCTGTCCAGCATGAGTGGACCCAACACACCACGTCCAGTATCATCAGCTGCACACCAGAGGCCAGTGTCTAGTGGTCAGTACTAAAGATTAGATCATCTCATCTGTTCCATCTCAACAATATAACCTTGTGTGGCAAAACTTTGTCTCAGTATTTTATTGCTACTTATTTTCATTTGTTTCAAATTTTATTTAAGACAAAATATTTTTTTAAATGCACCATCTCCTTAAAATGCAATTAAAATAACCATTCAAAGCCTTCCTGTTACACTTTAGCCTTCCTGTTACACTTTAGATAAAAAATTATTGTAAAAAAAACCTGCTCATTACAGGGCTTTTGAAGATGTTAGTTTAGGGATAAAAACTCATAACTGGCAACATATCACAAAAGTTTTAAACTGTATTTGTATGTACCAATTCAATTTCTAGTTTAAAAAATATCATTTCTAACTTCTTATTAATTGTATTTTATAAAATTGTAATTTAGCTATTTGTTCTTTAAAAAATCATGACATTAAAAAAAAATTAAAAAATTAAGAGTTAAAACATAAAGAGAACAATTGAGGTTGTTTCAAGAAATTTGTAAAAACTACTTTATCAGATGCAATAGAAGGTATTGAGTCAGCCAGCGAGCTTACAATGGGGGGTGTTATATGTGGCAACCCATCAAAAGCTCTGCGACAAAGGAGGAGTCATGATCAGAATTCCAAGGAAGATTTGAGAAAGGGACTTAATAAACTCATGCAGAAGGTTTGTAATGTGCTTTGTGAAAATATTCAACTTTTCTAAGAAAGTTGACTTTTATTACTAATGCACAAGTAAGATCATGGTAAGTCTAAGGTATAAGATTAAACGAAACAATATTTTTGGGAAGATCTAATTTAAATGTATCCATATAAACATAAATAGTTTAAATTAAATCTTAGTGAATGGCTTGGATAAATGAAAGACATCTTGAGACAATAAACTAAGTTACAATGATTTCACCAAATCTCTATGTCTTTATTAATCATAAACATAGACTATTTAACTATTTAACAGAATTACTTAAGCAGTGTGAATATAAATATTGGTCCCACAAATGTATAATTAACTTAGAATAACATTTTCATATTAAATTTTTTTTTTTCAAATAGTTGAGGAGTTACCTAATAGTTGAGGAGTGACCTAATCTACTGTTTCACCATTTATTATCTACTATCTGCATCTTTATGCAATTCACAGGGTGCCATCTTGAATAATAAAGCAGACACAGAGGAAGAGCCACTAAAGCCAGAAGATGAATTAAACAGTATCATAGAAGAGCTGCAGTCATGGAAGCTAGAGCATGAAAAGTGAGTGGTCTGTTCATTTGGTATGTGCCATTAGTTTGCTTGAAGGAGTTAACAGTTTTAAAAACTGCATACCTTTAGATTCTTTTTCCCTTTCAAATCTGAAAAATGGTCAAATCCCATTTTAAATAATTAAAGTTTTATATTAAATTGTTAAAGATTTGAAGTTTCTACTTAACACAATGTTTATGTTAAAACATTCTAAACACCAATTCTAAGGTCAAAAATCATTTTCGTCTCAAACATTCCAGGAGATACACCAACATATGAAGAGTCGATTTTCAAAAACCGTTTTCCGCCATTTTGAAAAAAAAATGAGATAACTGTACATTCTTGTAGAGCAAACCAGGTTCCTTTAGGACATGTTAAAGTTAATCTACAAAACACATTTTAATACTATATTATTCTATGTCTAAAAATGATTTTATTTTAAAAACGCTGTGTGTATTTTTTTTTTAATTATCAAAATGCTGTATATATTTTTGGACCAATCCGTGTGCTTGCAAAGCTATTCTGGGCATGCGCACTAAACATCATGACGCGAAACAACAAACCTTGCACATAACGAACGCCTGGATGAAAGAGTTGTTTGTACTATAAAATCTCGAAAAAGAAAAAAAAAAGCTCACCAAGAGAAAAAGAAAAATAATTTCTTCATTCAAGCGGAGGAAAGATCCCCTCGGTTACGTGTAATCACGATAAATGGTTCTGCAAGGTGAGTTACCGGTAACTTCATTAGAAAACCACTAAATTTCATTTTACATTATTATTATTATTGTTATGGTTACTACACATCAAAATTGTTAGGGAAATGTAAATAATAAGTTGCTTTACAGAGTGATCTGTGTTATTTATTACACATTCAATCTTTCACATGCAGAGCCAGCTATTATAGAAGAAAGGGTGCTCAAGGACAGAAATATTTTCCCTCTGATTTGAATGTAAATAAGAAGCATCGACATGCCCTGGAACAAAACCAAACTGCTATTGAAGATGCTGCTTAGTCTAAAGTAGACACTTCATTATGTTCTATTTTGTTGTTCTAAATTCAAATAAAATGATTTGTGAATTGAACATTATCTTGTTTACTTTTGTTTAGAATTCAGATTTATAAAAACAAATCATGCAGACTGATAGCACTCTAAACTTTACCCTATTACAGGGGACTTTCCAGCATTTATAATACTGTTCTGTTAAAATATATCAATAAAAAAGAATCATACACAAATATATAATGTATATGATACAATTTTATTTTAGGTTGTTATGTAAGTGGTTTTTAATCTATAAAGAAACTAAATTATTTGCTACTGGGAATAATGTTAAGCTATCAAAATGGATATACAGTATTTTGTCGCTAATTTATAGGTGGATACACAGCATTTTGAAACGAAATAAGAAATTCAACCAAGTAAATAAATACATTTTAATTAACCTACATTTCAATTTTCATCATAATCTAACTTATATTTTGAATATATACCTAAATTAACATTTAATTTTCCAAAAATTTGAGCCATCTTTGTGTAGCAGAAAAAGTCGATTATCTCAAAATGCCAAAAACGGAGATACAGCATTTTGAAAATAGACTCTTCATATAGTTTATTTCTATTATACAAATGTTTGTAAACAGTGAAACTTTTTAAAGATTTCTGTTCTTTTTTTCAGGAGAATGCAAGTCCTCCGTAAATCTAAAGAAGCCCAGGTTCTTGTTGTCGACCATGATGGGGCTGACTTAGTTGATTCCACTGATGAAGATGATGTTGGAGGTTTTGAACACACTCCTGACAGCCATTCAGCATCCACAAGACATCGTCACACAGCAGACCTGCGACTCAAAGCAATGACATCCTCAGCTGACACAAAGGAGGTGATACATTCCGGAGGTGATACACATCTCAAGTTCAAGAAAAAACAATCCAAATTTGTTCATGAAGATAATTACAAATCAGGTAGAACGCAACAGAACAACCACATTGGTGATGTTAGTTGTGGTGATGAGGTTGACTCTGATGGTTTTTATGCTGGCTACAATGTAGCCCAGTCTGTTGGTGCTGTGGGAGATTCCTCAACCGAACTTCAGGAAGATCACATTTCATTTGGAAATGATGAAGGTCATGCATCACCATTAAGAATATCCAGTCCAACATCAGCTCAAATAGTCAACAGCTTCAGGTCTAAACAAACGGAATCACAATCTACAAGGCCACGTAAATTAAGGTACATAAAATTTTTTTTTTATAGCCCCCCCCCCCCCCCACAGGGTAGGGAGATTAGTTGGGGGTCCATTCAATAATTTTGGAGTCCAGTAAAACTGGCAGTCTATTAAGTCAATTTTCTGGCCAGTCAGAAATTTATAAAATAAAAATAAAAAGATCCCATGAAAGCTTCTTCAAGTAAGTCCATAATATTATACACAATAATCTTAATAATATTGGTATACCTTGGTAGAGTTCTTTTAATTTTGATATTAATTTCACTATTTCAAACTTTTATTGTTTTTACAATTTGTTTGCATTGTGAAAGTCATGAATATCTGTTTTTTTCTTTTTGGGAAACCAAAAAAGGTTAGAAATTTGTTTTTTAAAGAAAGAAAAGAAAATTTTCATAGGGTACAGACCATGTTTTGATGTTTTTCTTCAAGTATATATTTTATTGTTTACAATTATTATTTTCAACTGCTGAATGGGCTTTTGTTTCTTACACATTACTTAAGTGTCCTGTAATGTTTGTAAAACAGCTTTTCAGTTGGTGTGCTTTAAAACAATGTCTTACCCTCCAAGAGTTCTTCTTAATTAATTTTTGTTGTTAGATATGTACATTGAAAATGAATATTACTGGTGACTAGGTGACTATTTTTATAAATTGAAAACAGTTAACACATTTTGAAAGGCTGGGATGGGACAATTCAACGTGCGAGATTACCACAAGCCGTGTCCTTGACAAAGATATAAAAATTGTTGAAATTTAAAAGTGATAATGTAAATTTAGAGGTGATTAAAACAATGTTGAATAGTCAGGAACTTAAATATATTAAGTTGAAATAGATTTACATAATCTCTCATATACAAGAGGGTCCACATAAAACCATATGTCTCAGTGTAATGGAAAGTGTGCTGCAGTTGTGATCGCCTGTTTACATGATGGTTGTGCAGAATATAGTGAATGTGTACTGTTTTTATGTGGTCCACCCTGTATAGTTGAGATTTGGATGACCCATGTTAGGTTAGTTCAGTAGGCCATGTGTTTGTGGATTATGAAGATAAGCGGTCAGGGGATCTGTGCTCAGGTCATTCCATTCATTGACAAAATATTTACATACCATATTTATCGGCGTATAACACGCACCTCATTTTAAGAAGGAAATTTCCGGAAAAAAAAACTTAAATTATATCGGCGTATAACACGCACACATCATTTGCCCCCTATTTTCAGGGAGAAAAAGTGCGTACGAAAAAATATGGTAATTACATTTTTCACTCAAATTTTGCTTTAATTTTAAAAGAAAAACATTTTTAAAAAAACAAATGTAACCTTACAAATTTTCATCCCAGTTATAGTAGGGGCCTCTTGCCTTCAGTGCCTTTGTCAAAGTTGCGCCTTTATGGAGGTCTTTTGTCGAGCAGCCATTTTAAACTGCTAAAACATACATTCAAAAATAATTATTTTTCCCATATCAATATATGCACTTAGGCGCTTATGTGAGATGAATATGTGATACAAACAAGTTTTGATGTTTACGTCGATATTTTTTCTTGAAACCTGAACATTTTTATAATCGGCTGTGCATTTAAGTTATCACTTTCTTCTTTAAATAATTTCTTTTTGAAATCGGCAAAATGTCCTGTGATGAAATGGTCTGGGGCGAAACAACTTGAGGCGAAAAAGCATTGACAAAGTGGCAGCGGGGAAATTGGAGCTGCAAATCACCTTAGATCCCTTATAGTTGTTGTAGATACATGACATGTTTTAAAAGGAACTTATAGTTGTAAATACAGGACATATTTAACATTGTAAATACATGACATATTTTAAAAGCAGTTGTTGTAGATACATGGCAAAATTTGAAAGACTTCCTTTTGGCTTAAATTGATGATTGCTATTTCCAGGGTTGGACCCACAGGACTGCCACTTTCATCACAGAACCAACAACCCGTCATCAGAAATAACATTGTCTCTCAAGGTTCAAGGTCCAACTTTGTGGCTAACTCACGACAACTCAGCTCTAAAGCCAGTGTAAATATTCTGCCGTCACAGCCAAGAATTCCAAGAGTGCTACCTGAACTCCAGGGACTTGTGCCACATCCTCCCAATAATTCTTAAATAATTGTTCTCAAAGTAAAGACTTACCCAGAGAAAAGGTTAATATAAGTAAAGTCTTATCCTGAGAAAAAGTTGTAAAAGTAGAGTCTGATGCTGAGTAAATTTATAAGTAAAGTCTTATCCTGATGTGAAAAGAAAAATTAAAAAACATTGTTTATTAAACTCTCCATGAAGATGTACAGAACACTTGCCCTCTGTTTATTAAACTCTCCATGAAGATGTACAGAACACTTGTCCCTGTTTATTAAAGCCATTGAGTACATTTTTTTTTGTTGTAATTGAAATGAAACAAATAACTTAGAATATAAATTTAATAAGAACATTAGTAGAAAAAAAAATAATTTCATTAAGTAAGATAAGACTTTTTATTTAGTTAAGGACTTTAGTCACTCATTGAAACTATTACTAAGCCATTTATTTTAGTAGAAAAAAATGATGGATCTTTATGTTTTGAGCTCTGAGGTTGGGAAGGTTTGATACACAAGTGGGTGAAAGTCATTTTCTTTATAAGGACTGCTAGATAAGATAAAATGACCATGATATTTTCAGATGTAATAAACACTTTTCATTGGTTGTAATCTAAAACAGCTCATTGGTTATTATTTTCAAGGTTTAGTTTTCATCTTCTTTGTTAGTAGTTAGGTTTTTACATTTAAATTTCTTTTCTGATTTTCTTACATTGAATTATTTTATTTTATTTGTCATGAAATTATGAATCAATGATTTAAAATATTGAATTCAATCCCCCAGTCTCATTTAAAAACCTAATCCTAGTTTGTTTAAGACATTTTCAGTGATTCATTGTAAACTTCAACCTTTATTTAAAAATTGTAGAAATCATGACAAGTATTCTGGATCTGAATGACAAGTTTGAAAAACTCACTTTTTAATTTTTTAGTAATAATAAAAAAGGAATAGGGTATTTTAACAATATAAAGTATTGTTGAAGAGTTTTCTCCGTATATAGAAAACAAGAATATATGTTTTGTTCAGTTTTTAGAATCTTTTATACATTAACATCTATAGTTTATAAACCAAAAGTATTCAGAGACAGATACATATTAGTATGTTATTTTATACTAATTAAAAGAAAATAATTTTTTGGTAAATTTACTTGGATTGTTTTTAGCTCTCTTCCTATTTCAAACAAAAATCTGGCTTCTTGACTTCTTTTTTTAAAAAGTCTTCTGTTATTGGGTTCAGGGGTAGCCACATCACTGACTGGTTTGGGTGGTAGCCACATCACTGACTGGTTTGAGTGGTAGCTACATCACTGACTGGTTTGGGGGCTGTTATTTTTCTTTTATATTAAAAAAAGTTTACCAAAATGAAAGTTATGAACATTGTAGTCTCCATTGAACATTCAGTCTTCGTGTATCAACTGGGGGTCAAGGTGAGGAATTCCACCTCTGTATATTGACTGCTTCTCTTGGCTACATTGAACATTCAATCTTTGTGTATCAACTGGGGGTCAAGGTGAGGAATTCCACCTCTGTATATTGACTGCTTCTCTTGGCTACATTGAACATTCAGTCTTTGTGTATCAACTGGGGGTCAAGGTGAGGAATTCCACCTCTGTATATTGACTGCTTCTCTTGGCTACATTGAACATTCAGTCTTTGTGTATCAACTGGGGGTCAAGGTGAGGAATTCCACCTCTGTATATTGACTGCTTCTCTTGGTCATGCTCTATTCCAAAAGATCGTTCTCTTCTATTGTTCATAAGATCTCTTTGGGTCTTTCTCAGTTTTGCTTTCCCTGCATTGTCCATCTTAGGGCTGACCTGGGAAGTTGAGTTTGCTGGCATTGCAGAAACATATGTTCTCCAGTGATGTGTCTGTACAATTTTTTGCAGTGGTTGCCACTCTCATGGTATTCCAAATATATATAAATGCATAAAAAGAAGTTATAGAATGAAATTAAACTATTATTAAAATGAAAACATTAGATAGTCTTTATATATTATTATGCTGGATTGCATTTTTCTAAATCTAAACATTTAAAATTATATTGCACAGTGATAAATGCTAATTATTTTAAAAACTGTATGGATACATTATGTGCCAAAAGTTCAGTACTGAAAATACTGCATCTTTAACATGTACTGCACTTGACAACTGGGCATAGTTGTATTAGGCAGTTGTTGGAAATGCCCTTCCTATAGGGGAACAAAGTTTCATAGATGAGGACTATTTTTGCTCGTATTGAAGTATTTAAGTGATTATGATGGCGGACCATGTTTGAAAAATGGTGGTAGAGCACAGAACAATTCAAAGACATGTTTACTAAGATGGCGCCAAGTAGCACACTGTCTGTTGTTACGAAATTTTGCAGTTATGGCAGTGTATTGTGTCAACTGTGTTTTGTGTCAACTGTGTTTTGTGTCAATGGTGTATTGTGTCAACTGTGTTTTGTGTCAACGGTGTATTGTGTCAACTGTGTTTTGTGTCAACGGTGTATTGTGTCAGCTGTGTTTTGTGTCAACAGTGTATTGTGTCAGCTGTGTTTTGTGTTAATGGAAGAGGAAGTCTGATCAACCAGTACGTGTTTGGCAATGAGAGCAATGTCTATGTTCTCCAGGAGGTTCAGCACATATCTCAGAAAATCTTTCTGCTTTTTTAAAATATTATTGGTTATTCATTTGAACATCCTTCAAAATGAACATCAGCAATACACCTGTTAGCAGATTGTTTAAGACATAGGTGCATTTCATACCAGATGGAGCCAGGATGATGTACAGTATTGTGGGTGTTGGAGGATCCGGTTTTGTTAAGAATGCGTGATTCTCTAAAGAAAGTCGCATCAAATTACCAGATGTTCAGATGTCCCCTTCTGTTGACAGAGTACCTTTCCAAAACAATGTTACTTGGTGTCATCCTCCACATTTTTCCTATCATGATCACCATTTATGTTCACTAATGTATGAGAAAAAATATTTCTCAACTATGAATACCTTTTCCTGCATGGAGAGATCTATTTCCAACAGCTGCCCAAAACATAATAGTTTTCACTTCTATTGTCTTGTCTTATTTCGAGCAATAAATCACCATTGACAAATGCAATTATGTGTTCAAGATGCAGGAGTTTCAGTAATGCTATATTTGGCGCATCCTATATTAATGATACATAAAAAAAAAAAAAAAAATTCTATGCATTTTGTTTAGCTCATGGTACTGCATATATTTACTGGTTGCTCTGTAGCATCCAGAATGACATAACTGTTTATGTCATGTGATAGTAATATACACCAAAAATATGATTTGTATATAAACTGTTGATTTTTAAGAACAGATTTCTATAGCAGGTGAATTTTTTCCGTCCAATTATTCTACCATTATTAATCATAATTTCTATGACACAACTCAGCAATTATCCTTCAACAAAATATTGCTTACATCAAAGCTTCTCAGAAACTCTTTCTTGTTTTTTTACAAATATTATTGTTTGCTCTTTTTTTTCAATGCATGACTAAATAGTTCTCTAAAACTAACCCATTTTGCCATATTCATCAACTTTCAAAAATATATTTTAATGCACTGGTGTGCATTGCTAACATTGTGTTCAGCTATCACAACATTATGGAGAGGAAATGTGTCTGTAAATCAAGGGGACCCATGAATGGTGATGATTGATAATGCACAAAGAGTAGTGTTAAAAATCTTAAGAAACAAAATTGATTTCAGTAATATATAGTTATGATTTAGAGAGCTAGCATATTGATATAAAATCAGTGAGGTAGATTATTTTTAGAACTAACTATCCTTTTCTGATCAATTTTATTTTTACTCATAAATATATAGCCTAACCAAAAATTTAATGAGAATTAAAAAAAAAAAATGCATTTCAATCAGTTTGCTATTGAAATTTTTTGAAATACATTTATTTAAGTTTTTAGTCCATTGGGATCACAGAAGCAAATTTTTAATTCACATTTTTAAAAACTAAAGCTTGATATTATGACCTTGTTCTAAACTGCTTTCTTTTACTACCACAGTAAGAAAAGAAGTGGGTGATGGGAGAGAAGCTGTTTTGCAACACAAGTATCATAAATGGCCATGACACACTTCTCTCTCTGGAATTTTAAATAGGGGGGGGGGGGGGGGGGGCGCTAGAACTCTGTAATTTATTTAAACAAGACTAGGGCATTTTAAAATCATCTTATTTCAATTAGTGCTTTTTGGTTTTAAACAAATTAGTTTAATTTTTTTACCGTCTAGTTATTTAGATGACAATTTCAATGAGTGTCTTTAAATTGTCAATGTCCTGTAGTCAGACAAAGTGTGCCTATCTTGTTACATTACAGCCATGGAATACACAAAAAGGATCAGTATAATTTTATTTTGGGTGTGGGAATATTCCGAATGCTTTAGTTAAAAATAATTCAGATCAAATTTAAGCTGTTTAGCTATAAAATGATTGTTTAAAAGTACTCAAAGATGATCCTACGGCGGCAATTTCAAATTTATTTTCCCATGTTAAATTATGATATAGTGGTTAACATTTAACCAACACACACTAACACATGACTTAAATTAATACTAATAGAAAATATTACTTCCTGATGTGAATATTTTAATAATAATAGAAATGTAAATGTAATTATATTTGTGAGGAACTATTTTCTAATCATTGTGATATGAAGCCATTTGTTTTGCATTTTAAATCTTTTTGGTGCCTGCAGCAATTTACTGAATGTTTTGTAAAATTATAATATATTATTATAGTAGGCAAATATGTTCCCCATGTGTATTGTTTGGTGCTTATGTATTAACTTAATGTCAATTTGTGAATTATTGTGGGTGGACTGCTGTAAAACACCTTGTTTTTCTTGACTGATTTGATCATGTATAAGTATAAACAGTTGTGATATTGTTTATTGAGTGTGGGTAGTGATAATTTAAATCAACATAATTTTATTAACATTAAATAATAATTTTCCAAATCTGGAATCTTTTAAACAAAGATTTCCTCTTGAAGAAATGAATTGACTTTGTGAAGCATTGTGGATGTAATAAAATTTTATTAATTAAATATTGCAGTTTGTTTATTGAATGTGGCATGTTTAAAAATACAATTTTGGTGATCTTACAGATTCTTTGCTATTTAATGAAGTAAAGATGAAAATAACTCGGAACATTTTGCTTTCTATCAGCTACATTTTTAAACGTTCAAATAGCCGACATTGGTGGACAGCTGTAAGACTTTTGAAATAAAAAGAAGAAAACCTAAAAATAACAATATCGATATTTCAATCAATGAAATTTAAGGATGTCTTATCAAAACAGGTCATCATTGTCTATTTCCATCTTCTTCCACTGATTCTGTGTGATTCAACCAGATGTTTTTTGTTTTCAAATAAAGTCTGTTGCATTTGATGACTTGTACATCCAGTAAATATAGTAATAATAATAAAGTAATACCCCAAAGCAATAAAGCTCGACGCACATGAGGAAAAAATAACATGATAACAAAACTTTCTTATAAATTAAAGAGTGATTTAAGTATTGTATTATAATGTGTTTAAGAAGTTCATAAACCATAACTTAAGCAATTTAATAAGTTGTAAGCCATATAGCTAATGATTATTTGCACTTTCACTAATTAGGGATATAAGGTTTTACACCAAAATAACATCAACAGTTTATTATTACACTACAAGACAGTATGTAATGGACAGTCAACTCAGTTACAATTTATGATTATTATATTAACTGTATGATATAAAATAATTGATGAAATATCCCTTTTTCTGTTGCTCAAACACTTTCAACTTTTTGGTCTGTTCTTGGCAAGTTTGTCCACAATGTCCTGCTGAGAGTAGATTCACCTATATACATAGGTTAAAATATGAGCAGACCTTAAAGGAACCTCCATTTTTCTTCTTTCCTCTAACCTAGGAACTTTGCTCCAATCAAAGGTGCTATATATGGTTAAAGATTTTTTTAGAAGTCGAGTATTTACTGCATCATCTGGACTCTCTGATGTTTGACTTTATGAAGAAAAAAAAAAGATAAAGTAATTTTAATCGCATGGTAAGCAATGCAAAATTGGTTGTACAGAGATAAAAACTTAAAACAAATCAAGCTATGACACACCTATTCACAATTATACAACGGCACTCTTAGGTAACTGTAACATATGCTTTTGTCCATGACACTCATGATATTATCTCACAGGACTGAGCGGAGGAATATCTGAGAAAAGCATGAAGTTAGAGACTTATTTGATTGGTGAGAATATTTTAATGACATAGAAGTAAGGTGATGAAAGTGGACATATTGAAGAAATAGGACATACATATTTTGTGTTAATCAATTCCTAATAAGTGAAATTGTATACATATTTTTTGGAGATGCTTAACCAGTGATGTTGTGGATATTATTATTATTATTGTTCCAAGGATAATTTATTGTGTTTCTTGGAAATAAAGTGAATAGTGTGTACAATTGAACTTTCATTCGTATGGAAGTGGCAGTGAGAGTTGACAGCTGATTTAGTATTTAGATAACTGTCATCACTGTGTGTCCCATACACACAAAATGACTATTTACAGTAGGCTTCTGGACATAGACACACAATCAAATTTTACAAATAAATTTAAAGTTGTGAGCTAGAGTAAAACTTGGAACTCATTCACTTGAATGATGACAATTATATTTTTAAAAGCCGACAACATCAATTGAGCCATTCAAAAGAAATCTTCAGTTCTCTCCTAACAACTTGAGCCATTCAGAAAGTTCTACAATTATGGCCCAGTTTTATTTCACCACCAAGACCTTTCATTGTATCCCATATTTTTCTAACCACTTAGAGCCACTGACAATTTATCATATTTCATTCCATTGCCTTTCTCTTCTCTCATTCTTTGAACCACTTAACATCAATTTTACACAGACATTACTTTAGGCCTGGGACAATGAAAGCTTAAAAATAATTGAAAAGACTTTCAAAGACAACGATTTACTTAGTCAGAGGCAAACGATGAACTCTTTGGCACAAAGTGAGGAGGTATTCAAAATAAACAATATTTCTGCAACAATTACTATTGAATAAGCTTTCCTTATTTCAGTCTTTTCTTTCTGACCTATCACAACACCTCCCATTAGAGCACATAATGGCTTTACAATATTTCTTTCTTTTCTTTCTTTTAAACAGAACCCGGCAGTGCAAAAGATTAACAATTGGTAAATAAAAAGTAATCTTACTTGCTTCTTAGATTGTTGGTACCGACAACTGCTGTGACTAAAATCAGCAAGCAAAAGAAAGATAATATATTAAAATTATTGTGAAAATTTTCTCATGCATATTACAGTACCTGTATGAAAAAACAACTACAGTATATACTCAGCAAAAGGTCGCATCCTTAGTTTATGGTAGTCAAAGTGGGTATTTGCTGTTGACCCACAAAAAATAGATTGTACCTTTATTTTAGGGAATTACTTGGACCTAAATACTTCAATTTCAGTAAAAATCACAAAAATGTTTCCGTAAAAAAAATGACAACTGAAAACCAATCGTCATAAACTACTTGATCTTTAATAATAATAAAAATGTTAAAAAGTATCTAAAAATGGCAGAAAACGATTCTCCAACTTTGGTATAAAAGACTTCTCCACACTTAATAAGCAAATGGATTTCAAGCGGATAGGTCACACCCTTGATTTTTATGAATTTTTTAGTAAAAAGTGCAACCTATATGCAAGGATATATGGTAATTTTAATAAATATTTTGTTAAATACCGGTATATGAAACCAAAATAAGATTTTTGAATTTTGTTAACTGAAATTGGTGATATAATGGCACATTACAAATGCTAAGTCTTAAATTTAAAAAATACCTGGCCTAAAAGAAGAAGATGATTGTTTTGGTCTCCAGCCATAGTAAAGAGATGGTGGCCCCTCTGATTTTCTACCAAAGGCAATTCTATCTTTAACTTGATTTTCAAACTGTTTGTAGATTTGAAAGGACATGACTTGTTCAGCCTTAGTAACCTCTGAAAGTTTTCGACAAAGACTATTTGATAGAGTTAACAAATATATTTAAAAAATTAAATGACCATTTGACATTAATTAAAATATTCTCATAGACCTAATTTTTAAAAAAACTATGAAAAAATATTCAAAGCCTAACCTGCTCTGTCCAAAAGAGTTAAAGAAGGACAGCAGTGAATTACAAACAGTCTATAACCAGGCTCTTGAGCTACAGGGTTATTGAAAAGGTCTGATGAGAGAAAAATAAAAATATGAATTGAAATATTAGAGGTAATTCTTAAATATAAAAGTTGTATTTATTGCATGATTTTTTCCAAATTAAAAAAAAATAAAAAGTTATGGATAGTTACAGAATGTCAAAATAAATTGATAGCTCACTGAGAACACTAAGTGATTTCATTCTGTCACATTCTTCGATAATATTGTCCAACTTTGTGAGCTGATTATTCTGTAAAGTTAGCACAGTCAAACAAGTCAGGTGTCGCAAACACCCATGTATGTCTCTCAGCTGGTTGTCATGGAGATAAAGTTCACTCAAGTGGAAGTTAGTGCTAAAACACTTTACTCGCTCCAACTGATAGAAAAAAAAAAAAAAAATTTTTTTCAGAACATAAAAAGAGATATTGCATACCGGGTACTATTAACTATTATAATTGAAGAAACAATGAAATATTTCTTTTAGAATAGCAAGGGCATAACATTGCCTGATAAATAGAGCAATAATTTTTCTAAAGCATTAAATCTATAACAGAGTTGCACATCACTGCTGTAGTGATTTAAGCAGATGCTATTTAAATGCTTTTAGGACATATTCAAACAGCAAATAATGCATTTTCAGTGTGTAGAATGGGCATCACAACTTTAGGCAGTACAGTAGATATTACCTTATTTCCATTTAACCACAGTCTTTTCAGATTCCTGAATCTGTTTAAGTTCACTATTTCCACAAGATTTCTGAAAAATAAATCGAGTATAATTATTTTTACCACTGGGGAATAAAACCCATCAAATCAATGTAACAGAATAAATATTATTGTTTGATAAGCTTCCTAAGTTTAGATCAAGGGCATCGGGGGGGGGGGGGTATATGGGGAAAGTAAATTAATGCTCCCCTTTGGATTATGCTGACATTTTGTCAAAATACTATTACTAACATTTTTAAGATTCTAAAATGTACATAACTACTCATCAGTTCTGCACCAGTTCAGATTGTATGGATACCAATAAACATGATATTTTTACACACTAATTAAGAAGGATATCCATTAACTGTGTAATTGTAAGCTGACCAACTAAAGGCTTTTTTTAATAGTGTTTATGAATATTTATACTTGAATAAATAAATAAACATAAACTGTATCCAATAAAACCGTAAGTTAGTTCAAGTTACATTCATGGATGCCTTCAGCATTCTTGATTAGTCATTGTACCATGTTCCAACAATTTAAAAAAAACAGTTTTTCCCGTACAAAAACTTCTGTGGATGCCCATGACTTAGTTAATTTATAAATTTCATCAGCAGTGTTATTACTAGAATTTGATGGATTGTATGATAGTCACAATTGATTTTTGTGCAAAAGAATACCTGTTTGATAAATATAACTCTTCCACATCTTTGTCCCGTTTGATTCCTCTGTCTATCAATGCAATTTCCAAGACCTTTATATGATGGATAATATTTGAAACTTTGGCTAGTGTTAAATCATTATATGATAGGTCTGCATATTCCTAAACATATTATTTTGTTTATTCTTTGAAAAAATTTAATAAGTAAATACTACTAATTAAATATAAATCAATACCATATTCCAAACAGAACAGATATCGGTAATTATATGTGTGACTTTCCCCCCCTATTCTTACTGTGTTTTTTTTAACTACTCCCCNGCAACAAAGATGGCTGCTATGTATAAAAAAAAAAAAAAAAAATAAAAAAATAAATTTTAAAAAAAAAAAAATTAAAAAAAAGTGCAAAAACAGGTCTACTAAAATGGGGAGGGGAAAGGAAAATATTTGTTGTTTCAATTACTTGCCAAGAGAAGCAAAAATTGGAACAAAACTTTAATATTTAAATTTAATGGTTACTCCCTTTCCTCGCGTAATTTCAGATGGTACATTAATTTCATGAGGAGCGTAGCAACTTTATTGTATCCCTCTAGATATACTGCAAGAACTGTCAACAAACTGCAGTCACTCCCTTCCTTCAACTAAAACACTTTAAAATAATTAAAACACAACTTACAGTTTTATAGAATACACTTTTACACACTTTTTGCATGCACTTAAACTTTATTAAAATTTTAAAGTCCCCGCACTCCTTTACCACACATTGCTTAAAATTTTCTCCATTTATTGAAAGATTATGGTTATTTATTTTAACATTAAAATCTATATCAAATTTCAAATCTGTAACATAATTGTGTTTTGAGGTATTGATATAAATATGAACCGATTGCAACTTCATTTGGTTTGTTCTTATTTGGATGAGTGATTAGTGAATGGTATTTGGCTATAAATTTTCATTGCACTTAATGGCTTTAACAGTATTATCTTATAAAAATATTTTTAAATGTTAAGTTTTTATTACCTAATGAATTTTATAAGACCAAGTTTTGGAATGGAAAAAATCAGTCAAATTTATTAAATGTTAAAAATACAAAGCCAAAATTTGGCAAGGTGTAATAACAATTTAAAAATCAATACATTTTAAATATATTTATTAAATCTATTTTTAAAAGGGTGAAAAATATCAGTTTTGTCACATGTGGTTATTAACTCAAAGAAATTTAAAGATTGTGATTTGCGAGTTTATATTAAGTTCTTAAAATATTATTTTAAATGTTCATTCTTTGACAGTGACCAAATAGAAAATTTTAATTTGATATTGTATAAATACATTTAAATTTAATTTCACAATATTAACAATGCATTAAAAAAAAAAGATGTTTGTAGTTTCCCGATAAATGTGATTATGAATTAATAATAGTAATAATAATGAGATGATAACTATTGATAGTCAAAAGAATATCTTAACTTTCAAGGTAAATTTTGGGTTGACGGTATGGGTTTTGCCAAGAGTTGTCTCACCCTAAGCGCAGTGACATCATTTTGGGGAATCCCAACACTGGACTTAGGGTAAATAGACATATTAATTGTAGGACTCGAACGAAGTGTGTGTTAACAAAACCTTGATCTTTATTGAGCATTACGTGTGTCATAAACGATGTGGTTAAAATGAAGTATATTTAAATTTTCCATTAATTTGTGTTAAAATTCAACTTACAAGTTACCTAAAAGAAAGGAAAAAAGAAACACATTCTTGCTGATACCACAAGACCCAACACCGGTGAAAAGAAGAGGCGCATCAAAATCAAAATACCTGTATGTTAAAACTTCGGTAAAAAAGGGAGACTAATGCTAAAATTGCATTTGGCAATTTGGGATTATTTTCTAGAGACTAGGGAATGGGAGATCCCCTCCCCAGAACCCCACCCCAATTTAACACAAATTATAAAATAAGAAAATAATAACTTGCATTATGTGAATACTACAAACATCGAAATCTTTTTAGTACGGCATTGTGGATGGCGCTGTAGATGGAAATGGACCTGAGGAAACCTCTGTGACCTATATACCTTGGAACACATAGCTGGCCTCACCTCTAACCCAAAATCAACCACTTTCAAATTTGGATATTAGAAAATCCTAATAGCCTCTAGACTCTAGAATCTTTTTAAAATTCCAAACGTATTTAAACTGGTTAGTTTTTTTAGGTTTACATGGATGCCTTAGTTCATTCTTATATATATAAGAATATAAATATAATAATAAGATAGTCTAGTAAGTGTCTAAATTTGCCAGCCAATAATAATAATAATAAGTAAGGCAGACAATTATAATTAATTTAATTAGATACTTCGGTAAATCAAGGGAGACTACTACTTTTTGTGTATGGGATTTCGCAATCGGCGCCAAAAAATCCGAGTTTTTAATTTTCCGATGTGTGTGTCTATTTATTATTAAATTAGTACTTTCGATATATATTTGAGTTCCGTTTTCGGCCTCATAATTAGGTAGACATCTTGGCCTACATTTTAATCAATTTCTTTTTCATTTACAATCAGTCAGCTTTGAGAAAATCCTTGGTAAATATAAGGCAACTTTCATCATTAAAATTAAGTCAAAGGCGATGCGTTGCCTTATATAAAGTATATAGTCATTGCGCATGACGCGATCAGCGGAATGAGGTCACAAGATGTGGAGGTTTCGTCCATAGTAAAAAATACCAAACGAACTCACACTTTAAAAATTCATAGCTCAAAAAGTACTTAAGCTAAAAAGTTGATTCTGGTTTCATTTTTTTATTTGAAATTAGCTCTAACTAACTGTGCTATTAAAAAAAATATTTGAATTTTTTTAAATTTTGTATTTAAGTGCCTAAATTTAATTAATTAATTATTAGGTAGGCCTAGGCCTAGGCAATTATTAAAAAAACAACAACTAACTTACTATAAAGCCTACATAATTAAACAAGTACAAAAACACTAACAAAGTACAAAGTTAGATATTAAAGTCATTCAAATAATCAAAGAATACCGTATTTCCTTTAAATAAATATATATGTATCAATAGCATCACTTAATTTCATGTACTTTTTAAAAATACCTCTGCACTAGACTCCATCTTTCTTGTTGCTACAATAACTTAAATAAAGCTAACCTTATGTTTTTTTTAGTTTCGCATTAAACATAAAAAAAAGATACTACATACATTTCGTACATAGTTTATTTATAAGCCTGCGGTTCCATATTTAAAAAAATTTATGATCACTTAGAACACATTTCAAATATTATTCGTTCTTATTTTTAATTTTCTTTTAAATTTTAGTTCGTGTATACATTATGGCGTCATCCATCATTTAAAAATCCACTAGATGGCGTAAGAAAATAAGAAATAGAAACCCACATTCCCGGCAGCATGGCGGCTGTGAGTACCAACTAAATTCCGTTGGCCTTGTTTTTATTTATTGAAGTGGATTAGATTGAACTAAGTTGAACATATTTGTTTAAATAGTTGCAACTAATCCATACTATTTGTATATTTAAATAGAGGAACTAAGTTGTTTAGTTTTATAATTTTACGATAGGCCTGATCTTATTTTTAGTCACTTAACTTAACAGAGACAGAGGCAAACGCCTAGCTAGGCTTATTTTATTTGCGCAATACTCTAACTCTAAACAGAAGTTTCGTTAATTAAACACTTGCAAATTGTATTTATCTATCACCTATTTTTTTAGCCAACAGTCGAGAAGGTTCAAGAAATCAGAGAAGTTACCAGAATAGAGCGTATAGGTACGTGAAGGTAGAGAACTGATTGTTTGGCTGTTGCCATGGAAATAAAAGCTGAAAAATATCTTTAATAATAATACTACTATCATGTCTTGTATGCAATTTAAAAAACGTATGTAAGTATTGTTAGTGAAGGAGTGATTTTACTATGCTTAAGTCTATGGTCTTTCTAAATTGGGAAATTTTTCTTTAACTAGGTCAACTTCAAATAAATTAAACTGTTTTTCAGGTGCTCACTCACACATCAGAGGATTGGGTCTTGATGATGCACTCGAAGCAAGACAAGTTTCTCAGGGGATGGTGGGGCAGGTTAAGGCCAGAAAGGCAGCTGGAGTAATCTTGGAAATAATAAAAGTTTGTTTACTTTCTCTTGACACTTCAAAATTGCTCCACCCAAACTTAATTTATTTAGGCCAATACAATTGTGTAAATATATGTCCTTAGACTTAGACAGAAATCTTAAATATGTTATATTGCTATAAATCATACATGATTATCAAGGGGTAACTATAAGATTTTTCTGTGACTTTTTTAAACACCCTGTTTAATCTTTGCATTTCATTGCCAAAACTTGAGCTGACTTTCCAATTTTATGAATTTTTTTTTACCACAACTTTTTTTATTTTAAAAGATAATGGTACTAATTCTTCAAAGCGTTACACAATACAATAAACGTCAAAGGATTTAAGTGGCTTGAAGATTGATTATTTTGCATAATTATACTTGTGGGAAACTTGATGAAATCCTGAAAATAAGAATGACTAAAACTATTAAAACTTATTTATAAAGACAATAGCCACACAAAAAACACATGAATCTTTATCTTGATAAATTTCACAAACTCTTCTTTATAATCATGTCTCCATAAAATAAGTTAACCATCTTTGTTTGGCAGACAATGAAAGTCCCTTTATTTTTGTTCTGCAAGACACTATTTTTAAATGCTGTACCAGGGAGAAGACTATAAAATAGAGACTGACAGAATTTGGCTTTCGGCACCGAAAGTTGCAAATTGATCACTTTTGACGTAGTTTCGGATGAAACAGATTAGTTAACTTAATGTTTATTATTTTAAGAGACATGGTTAGAAAAAATATTTCTCCCCTCCATTGGGGGGGGGTGGGGTAGTTGGACGCCGAACGAACTAAATACACAACCTTCACGGAAAGACTACAGCGGGTTGGGACTAGGCTAATCAGATTAGTTAACTTAATGTTTATTATTTTAAGAGACATGGTTAGAAAAAATATTTCTCCCCTCCATTGGGGGGGGGGGGGTAGTTGGACGCCGAACGAAATAAATACACAACCTTCACGGAAAGACTACAGCGGGTTGTGACTAGGCTAAATATTACTACAGCTGCTTATGAAATAACCGCGAAAAATTATGTTTGTTTGTTTTTTTTGGCTTCATATGCCTTATAAGAAATCATGGATTTAACAGATTTTTAGCTGAAATTTGGCACTGTTAGGATAATTATTGTAGAATTTATGCATAATTGTACACACATTCTGGAGGGCGGCCATAAGCATCCTCAGTTGGTATACATAATATATGGATTGCCCCTTATTTTGGGAGGGGGTGTGATAATATGTTATTTTTTGAGTACATTATATATAGATGTCCTACTATCTATTCACATTTGGCTACATTGACGGCTATGTACGTGTACATTGCATGGATGATTTAAATGTTAATGTTGGCGTTGAATCGGCTCTCTTTTTTCAAGGATTATGTCTGGGCATTTTTAAAGGCCCATACAATGAAAAAATTATAGGCTAAACTTTCCATCAATGCCAAATATGTCTAGGAAGCGTTGTAATTATATTATAAAAGCAATAGACACCCAAGGATCTATTTTGCATGAATGTAGCCGAAGGTAATTTTAACTTTTGGAATGGTTTCGGTTTCTGCAGAAATCAGAAAAATCACTTACAGTCAGAATCTATATTGACTCTGTATCATTTCAATTATTTCATTCTAATCTGTGCCTTTAGCCCTAATGCTAGTAGTGACTATACAATGATTACAAGTTTCTTTTAGCAAAATAAATTACTGTATTTATAATACTTAAATATTTTATTTAAATTTTTGTAAGTAATTCACAATAAAATAAACAAGAATCTAAGTAATATTTAATGCAGAATGTCTGACAAAGTAATTTAAAATGAATAAAATGAAATTAGCAACCTTTTAATTACCTGTAGATCTCAATTATATAACGGGATAAGTAATAGATTTACATTAAAAGTAATTATTTTTATTAATCTGCTTTGATACAATTAAATTGTTTTTAAATTGTAAATTAGATTGCAAATTAATTACAAATCTATTTCAAAACATTAATTAAAGCTATCGACTATCAAGAGCTGTTCCGTCAACACTGACTGAAAGGGGAAAATATCCGAAGGCGAAATAGGATTTTGGGAGTGGGGTCACCCTTTTTAGGGCTTGCATTTTGATTTCTTGAGTGAAGCCTCATTATCTATATTAAGTTCTAAAATTCAAGCAATGGATAAGGTTTTTGTAGATTAGGGTCATTTAGCTGTCAGATTTCTAAAAAAAACTATTAAATTTTAAGCTTTAACACATGGTCAGCTTATGGCAAACGGCTTGTGATTAGCTGCATCATTTGGTAATGAAATTTATAGTGCTGTGTGCAGAAACCATCAATATGACACAGATGACGAACAACACTGTTTATTTTTTCAAATTTTGTTGCCAGAGGCTATTTACCGATGTTAACGAATCCATTCTTTTAAAAGTGGGTCACAAGTTTTTGTGTTTTTTACAACATGCGCAGAACAATACATGAAAGAATATCGATATGTTTTATAAATAATTATAATAAAAGTGTTTTCAATTATTATTTCACTTACAAAAAAACTTTGTTACTGAAAGGAAATTCAGTGTGTCATTTGCATTCCCTTACTATGTCTATTTTTTCAGGAGGGTAAAATAGCTGGCAGAGGCATTCTTATTGCAGGCCAGCCTGGCACTGGAAAAACAGCCATTGCAATGGGTAAGTAGACAATAAAAAATTTAATTAATGTAGTAACTGTACTTTTAATTTATTGCTTTTTTAACCATTAGAATGAGGCATTTTTCAGCAGATAGTGAATTGTTTGATTTCAAGCTTTACCAGACTTTATATATTCAACCCAGCTATTCAGAGTTGAGGTACGAAAATGAGTTTTTAAATAACAGTGGTCCTTTTATTACCTAACTTTCAAGCATTTGTTTTCAAATTTCAATAATTTAATGGAAAAACTTCTGCTTTTGCAGCCTTTTTCTTAGTTTCCTTAATTAATCACAAGCTATTTTTGTAACTGGAACTGAATTAATTCCGACCTTAGAAAGTCTTATTTGAAATATGCTGTTTAAAATAAAGCTGTAAATGCTAATGTAATATTTCCAATGATTGATCAAAGTTTGCTGCAAAAGGCTTATAAAAAAACATGTTTTAAAGCAGTGCTGTATGCAGTTTCAAATCATTGACAGTAAAGCTGTCTTCATTGGCTCAATACTTTTACTAGTTTTACCATTTAAGATGGTATCATTTCCTCATTTTTGCTGCAACTTGTCACAAAAGTGCCTTTCATGTCTAAACAGCCTCGGTAGAATGGTGCTGTGTTAACAGTGCTCTTTAGTTGGACATTCGTGTTATTTATTTTAAATATTCTTCATTTTAACCTCCAGGAATGGCCCAAGCCTTAGGAACAGATACACCATTTACAAGTATTGCAGGAAGTGAAATATTTTCTCTGGAAATGAGCAAGACTGAAGCCCTGACACAATCATTCAGAAAATCAATAGGTGTTCGCATTAAGTAAGTTGGTCATGTCTCCGCACTAAGTGTATATTTAGACAATGAACACAATGGGGGTTGGATTTGATGTTTGAGATGTGGAATTATGCTATGGAAAAGACAACCAACCGATATTTTCTGATTTATTATTTTTTTTCCTTTAGGGAAGAAACTGAAATAATTGAAGGAGAAATTGTTGAAGTACAAATTGACAGACCTGCTACCGGAACTGTAAGTTAGACAATAATTAGTTTTAACATTGTGCTTTAGTTCGATTTTTGGGAGTGAAATATTCTTGTTTATACTTCATTCAAGTGGGCTGTTTTTCGAGTTTTTTACATAGCCTGTGGAAATTAATTCCATATCTGTATATAATGGAAAAAATAATGTTCTGGTCTGCAGTTAGATGTTTAACTATTGTTTCACTAGTCAGACAACCCATCCAACATATACTGTTTATTTTTAAAAAAATATATTTCAGGGAGCAAAAGTTGGAAAACTAACGTTAAAAACAACAGAGATGGAAACTATCTACCAACTAGGACAAAAGATGATTGAATCTCTCACTAAGGAGAAGGCTCAAGCAGGGTACCTTATTTTATTATTATTATTTTATTGCCTCTATAATTTGACTGGAATTTTTAAAAATATTTTTAATGAAATTTGATTCTTTTGTCAATGGGACCTTGTGTTTTGTCCCTTCTGATAAAATTCCCCATAAATCTCTAAAGATATTTGGTGTTAAACATATTAAAATTTAGTAGCTTTGACTATGAATTCCATTTTCAGAGACATTGTTACCATTGATAAAGCTACTGGGAAAATCACAAAGCTAGGTCGCTCTTTCACAAGGGCTAGAGACTATGATGCAATGGGAGCACAGGTATGCAAAAAATATTTTTTGAATGATTTCTTTTGTGGGAACACATGTTATTGAAATGTTTTTGTTTTAGATGTTACATTATAGGCCATAATTATAAATTTTTGTTATGTTAGTTTAGTAATAAAAAATTTGGTTAAAAAATCTTTCTCAGACCAAGTTTGTCCAGTGTCCAGAAGGGGAACTTCAAAAGAGGAAGGAAGTTGTACACACTGTGACTTTGCATGAGATTGATGTCATCAACAGCAGAACACAGGGATTTTTGGCTTTGTTTTCAGGTAACCTATCTCCAAGAAAATAGAATTAGTCATCAAATCATAACCTTAAGAAAATTGTTATGGTTAATTCTGGGAATAATCTAAAAAATGTTTTTTATATTTATATTTTAGGTGACACCGGGGAAATTAAATCTGAGGTCAGAGAGCAGATCAATTCCAAAGTTGCAGAATGGAGAGAGGAAGGCAAAGCAGAGATTGTGCCAGGTGTAAGTGTATTCATTGAGAGACATACATCTTCTGTGGCTTAACTGCCCTTCATCATCATCATCATGTCCCTTAGTTCTTGGACTGTTAGGGCGCCACCGATGACATGTGAACTATCCTCCTCCATTTGTCTCTGTCTTCTGCACTATGCACAGCATGGCCCAGTGTTAGTCCTGTCCACTCTTTGATGTTATCCTCCCATCTTTGTCTTCCTCTTCTTCTCCGTCCTCTTGTGGTGCCCTGCAATATTTCTTTGGCAAGCCCTTGTTTCCTTGTTACGTGGCCACACCATTGTAGTTTGCGTTTTTTCACAATCACCAGTAGGTCATCGTACTCCCCAATTGCTTGGCGAACCCTTTCTTTCACTGTATCATTGGAGATATGGTCCCTATACCAGATGCCAAAAATGCTTCTGAAGCATCTCATCTCCATCGCCTTTATTTTCCTTTCAAGATCTGCTGTTAATGTCCAGGATTCGCAGGCATACAGGAAAATGGAGAGGACTAATGAGCGCATCAGCCTGATTTTGGTGCTGGGGGCTATATTTTTGTCATTCCATATTTTCTTGAGCCTCTTTAGTGCTCTTGTAGTCTGTGCAATCCTGGACATAATAATAATAATAAAGATTATTTCAAAATCACGCCGAAAGGCTCAAAGCACGGTACAAAGTCAACCACATCTATAATTTAAAAACTAATCACAAGCATCAGTTCGGGCTTGGGGCCTTCTTCTGAGACTATTGCTCCTAGGTATTTGAAACCGCCTACAGTCTGCCCTTAAAGGAATTCAAAGATTATTGTGTTAACATTCTACTTTCATTACATTGTTAACGCTACATGTACTAATTTATAGATATTTTTAAAGATCGTGTCGTTTTAAATTTAATTTTCTCTATAATTTCAAGTTAATGGCTTCATTATAACTTGATCTTACCATGTTGGAAGAATAATGTTGAGAGATATCCTCTTTGTAACAGGTCCTGTTTATTGATGAAGTGCACATGTTAGATATTGAGTGTTTTTCTTTTCTCAACCGAGCTTTGGAGTCTGACATGGCACCCATTCTTATCATGGCAACAAACAGGGGAATAACAAGGTAGGAAATCATGGGAGATGCAGACCTTGTTACTCCTGGGCTTAACCACTTCGCTACCGATGACATCTACGTGACGTCACGGTCACCCACTTTCAATGACCAAGGATGTCACATTGTCGTCATAACAAAAAGTTAAAGAACCTATGTTTATTTCTTAATGATACGTCATAGTAATTGAGATGCTTAAGTACTATTCTGAAATGATATTTTTTGAGTTGCAGAGTAATGATGTCTGGAGATAGCCTTTTTCTTATTGTCTCTAAAATGAAATCCTAATGTTACATTATAATTATATGTGGGAATTCATTGTCTTTATTAATAAATTATAAGTTATAACAGTTTGTTCACAATTTATTTTGAAAGATTAAAATTGCCATTAAATTATATTTTTTTTAGAATAAGAGGCACGCATTACACAAGTCCTCATGGAATCCCCATTGACCTGCTTGACAGATTAGTCATTATCTCTACTAGTCCATATGAAGAGAAAGAAATAAAGCAAATCTTGAAAATAAGGTACGTTATTGATTATAATTAAAAAAAAAAAAAAATTTGTCATTTTATTCTTATGTTCATTACATGGCTACAGTTAAGAATGTTTTTTCCTCATTCTGCAGGTGTGAAGAAGAAGATGTCGAGATGAGTGATGATGCCCTGACAGTACTAACACGTATTGGTATGGAAACCAGTTTGAGGTACTCCATTCAGCTTATCACTGCTGCTAATTTGGTCTGCAGGAAACGAAAGGTGAGGATATACTATATTGTTTAAAATTGAATTGTTTATAACTATGCATAAAATTCCTTTGGTTTTTATCAAATTTATATGAATACTAATGTGATGCTATTTGTGCAGGGCACTGAAGTGGACGTCGATGATATTAAGAGAGTGTACACATTATTTTTGGATGAGTCTAGATCAACACAGTTCCTTAAAGAATACCAACAGGAGTTTATGTTTAATGAAAGTAAGTCCTTATAAATTAATTGTAACTTGTAGCCCTACAATTCTTATTCCCACAGCAAAGCAAGGGAGTATACCACAATCTCAGTTGAAATCAAAATGTTTAACTTTAAAATTTCATGACGTTCACTGGAGAAATTTTTTTAAACACCCATAGGACATCAGTCATACTTTGGGTGGTATTTTTTAAAAGGATTGATTAATATTAGAAGTCATTTCTGTATGTTAAAAATAAAATGTATGTATTTATAATTCATAATAATCTTTGTTGTCCAATATAACTAACTTAGTTAGGGTTATTTCCTCTTCATCAAATTTGAGGCGTTATTTGATTTCATGTATCTAAAAGGAATGTTTTTAAAAACAATTTTGTAATCTTTTTCAGATACAGATGAAATGGAAACAAGTTAGATAATGTATTATTTGTATCATTCACATTTTTTTCCTTGACCCACATTTTAACTGATCTGATGAGTTGTTTTTTAAATATCTATGAGTTAACCATATCTCATTCTCAATAATAATAAGGTTAACCATATCTCAATAATAATAAGGTTAACCATTTATTTGCTTAGAAAAGGTGTTTTCATTTTTCTCTCTTGAAATAAAATTCATTTATACTATTTTCATGTGCTTTTTTCTGTCCTCATTTTATAAAGATGTAAAACTGATTTCAATGCATCATATTGGTTTACAAAAAATATTTCGGTGGAAAAAGAACAAAAAAAGAAGGCATTAATGTAGTTTTGAGTATGGCACACACTTTTATTTTAAACAATTTCAGACTTGATTTCCATACTAAAAAATAAAGAATATTCAGATTGATCAAGAAAAGTCACTAACAACATACAATGACATAAACTAATATAATGGTACATTTAATTAATTGATAACTATGAATAGGTTTGGATACAATGCCTTAGAAATGATTTTTTTTTTTTTTAAATTTAGAGCATCTAGCCCACAAACATTTCAAAAACTTAATCACACTTATAACTTTGTATAGAAAAATAAAATATTTCAATGCCAGATTCAAATCCTTGCAACATCTGCTTCACTTTTCAATTATGGAAACTCTTGAACATGTAGCGTCACATACGTATCCATAAGGCTTATGTCTAAACTGAGTACAGCTATACATCAAGATGTTTGTTGATGGCGTCGATAAGGTCATTTTTTCTGGTGGCATTCGTGGGAATCTTTGCCTTTTTTATATACTCCTTTAACACAGCAACTGTCAGTTTTCCTAGCTGAAATATACAAAATACCATCACAACTTTCACAATTAGTCATTACACTATTGTTTTTTTTAATGTGACAGTAGTACTGATTTACTTGGTTACTTTCAAATGCTTTAAACTTTTCAAACATTAAGAATAATTTTTAGACAGTTGCATTATAAACATTGATTTTCAAGTCATGCATTTCAACGGTTATACTTAATTTGAAAAAAGAAATAAAAAAAGAAATACTAAATTTCCTGAGATCCCAATATTTTCAAGGTACATTACTTTGTAATTCTGCTCTGAAAGCGGTCCTTAAACCTCAATTCCATATAAAAAAAATTCAGATTTTTAATATATTTGATTTCATTTAATGCCCATATATATATTTCATTGCCAAAAAATTGAAAATAGCTCATAGGTACCGGTAGTTGATGTAAAGTTGAGCTAATATAATGAATGTGCTCAAGTGATGTAAACCAGGATTTCAATTAATGAAATGGAAGCTGTTATATTCTGACAATATTTCCATTAATTGGATCAATTAAACAATCCTATATTGAATCCTCTAAGTATAAATAATATTACATATTATGCATTAATTACAAACAATGTTTATTCAAATATCATTCAAGATTAATGTCCAACCTGACCTGCAGAAAATGTAAATTAACTCAAAATGAAAAAAAAAGGCCAATGCACTTATGTTAAAACGCATATGGTCAACTTACCCTTCCAGCCTCGGCTTCTGCTTTAATGTCCAGATCGACCTCCTCAGTCTTGACCTTCTTGGCTGTGGATGTACCAGTGGCCTAGAGAATGTTAAAAGAGAATTTAGTACATTCAGGTTACACAGACCATCCAACAATGGTTGGCTATTAAATAAGCAGGTCTGATGTTTTTATTTCCCCCTCCAGGTGCTGCACTTCAACATCTACACACCCCTGCTCAATAAGGCCAAAAGAGCAAGTCATATTTATCATTATGTGAATTTCGGTAGCCAAAGGAGCTGTGGAAAACATAAGATTTCCTTATCGTACTACTGTAACAATTTCTAAAAGCTTTTGTGAACAATTAGCTCACAGCAATGATGGCTGCCAAAGTGACAGATCAATCTCAATGCTCAAAAACCTGGTTTTATAAAGAATCTATGCTGATGCCATCCCATCTATTCAGAGTAAAAATAGAATTGCTCTTAGGGATTCAAAGTTATCAATATTCAAAGATACAAAAGTAAAAATAACTTAAAGCGGTCTTTCCTGTTTGGTTTAAGTAATGGTTTAGATCATTCATAGAAATGAAATTAATGCCAGGTTAATGCTTATGTTCGGGACAAATGGACAGAGTGATGAATGAGCTTTGGTTTTTTGAAGAGGGTTTTGACTTCAGGACGTTGACACGTATTTGTGACATACAGTCTTCCCTGTAAAACTCAGTATCCTATTTAAAAAAAGGTGATATCTGTCATGTTCAATTTAAGTAAAATATCAAACCTAACCTATGCAGAGGCCCCTCTCATATCTCTTCCATTGAATAAATCTCCTAGCAATCATGATTTTTAATTTAGTTAAATATCGCTCTCAAGGCGGTACCATAAAAAATGTGTTCAATGTAAATAGTGATTGAATAAAATTGTGAATGAGCAGTGACCTTTCTTTTCTGTCCTGCAGGTGTATAGTCTGCTGGGAAAACCATGTCCTTGAACTCATCCAAGACTTTTCCTGCTTTCTTTATCAACTCTTCTGTTGGCGGTACTACAATAAAAAATGAACAATAAAATTAAGAGTAAAAAAAAAGTGAACATATTTTTGTATATTCTGGAAATATTAAACTATCCCCATTCTTGAGAATACAACCCCTTCATTGACTTACTGGTGAGGTCTATGTTTATATAGTGAGGTTTATATACAAACTTACCAGTGAGGTCTATGTCTATATAGTCAGGTTTATATACAACTTACCGGTGAGGTCTATGTCTATATAGTGAGGTTTGTATAAAAACTTACTGGCGAGGTCTTTGTCTATATAGTGAGGTTTATATAAAAACTTACTGGTGAGGTATTTGTCTGTATAGTGAGGTTTATATACACACTTATTGGTGAGGTATATGTCTATATAGTGAGGTCTATATACAAACTTACTGGTGAGATCTACACACTAACTAGTGAGGTTGATATAGAAACTTACTAGTGAGATCTACACCCAACTAGTGAGGTTAATATACAAACTTACTGGTGACGTCTACATCTAACTAGTGAGGTTGATATACAAACTTACTGGTGAGGTCTACATCCAACTAGTGAGGTTGATATACAAACTTACTGGTGAGGTCTACATCAAACTAGTGAGGTTAATATACAAACTTACTAGTAAGGTATTTGTCTGTATAGTGAGGTTTATATACACACTTATTGGTGAGGTATATGTCTATATAGTGAGGTCTATATACAAACTTACTGGTGAGATCTACACACTAACTAGTGAGGTTGATATAGAAACTTACTAGTGAGATCTACACCCAACTAGTGAGGTTAATATACAAACTTACTGGTGACGTCTACATCTAACTAGTGAGGTTGATATACAAACTTACTGGTGAGGTCTACATCCAACTAGTGAGGTTGATATACAAACTTACTGGTGAGGTCTACATCAAACTAGTGAGGTTAATATACAAACTTACTAGTAAGGTATTTGTCTGTATAGTGAGGTTTATATACACACTTATTGGTGAGGTCTATGTCTATATAGTGAGGTCTATATACAAACTTACTGGTGAGGTATTTGTCTGTATAGTGAGGTTTATATACACACTTATTGGTAAGGTCTATGTCTATATAGTGAGGTCTATATACAAACTTACTGGTGAGATCTACACACTAACTAGTGAGGTTGATATAGAAACTTACTAGTGAGATCTACACCCAACTAGTGAGGTTAATATACAAACTTACTGGTGACGTCTACATCTAACTAGTGAGGTTGATATACAAACTTACTGGTGAGGTCTACATCCAACTAGTGAGGTTGATATACAAACTTACTGGTGAGGTCTACATCAAACTAGTGAGGTTAATATACAAACTTACTGGTGACGTCTACATCTAACTAGTGAGGTTGATATACAAACTTACTGGTGAGGTCTACATCCAACTAGTGAGGTTAATATACAAACTTACTGGTGAGATCTCGTTCCTACTAGTGAGTTTGATATACAAACTTACTGGTGAGATCTACATCTAACTAGTAAGGTGAATATACAAACTTACTGGTGAGATTTACATCTAACTAGTAAGGTGAATATACAAACTTACTGGTGAGATTTACATCTAACTAGTGAGGTTAATATACAAACTTACTGGTGAGGACTACATCCAACTAGTGAGGTTAATATACAAACTTACTGGTGAGATCAACTAGTTCCTCTGGCTCATCTCTCTGTAATGCCAGGGCTTCAATGTTTCTCCAGTGATTTTGTAGGACAGGGTTTTCAAAGTTTTCACTGTTGAACTTGAATGTCATTTTCTTGATGATTTCTTTAGCTTTGGCAATCTGCTCCTTTGTGGCTACATTAGTGTGTGAAAAATATTAGGGAATAACATTGTACATTTTGTTATCATTGCTAAATAATTTTAGAATGTTTCAGTGGTTCTGAAAAGTTTTAGAATGTTTCAGTGGTTCTGAAAAGTTTTAGAATGTTTCAGTGGTTCTGAAAATTTTTAGAATGTTTCAGTGGTTCTGAAAAGTTTTAGAATGTTTCAATGGTTCTGAAAAGTTTTAGAATGTTTCAATGGTTCTGGAAAGTTTTAGAATGTTTCAGTGGTTCTGAAAAGTTTTAGAATGTTTCAGTGGTTCTGAAAAGTTTTAGAATGTTTCAGTGGTTCTGAAAAGTTTTAGAATGTTTCAGTGGTTCTGAAAAGTTTTAGAATGTTTCAGTGGTTCTGAAAAGTTTTAGAATGTTTCAGTGGTTCTGAAAAGTTTTAGAATGTTTCAGTGGTTCTGAAAAGTTTTAGAATGTTTCAATGGTTCTGAAAAGTTTTAGAATGTTTCAATGGTTCTGGAAAGTTTGCAATCAATTAATGTCTTGAATGTCAAATCAATAAGCAACCTGTCATGGATGGCATTTAAATTTAGAAAAACTTGCACAAATGGGATCAAATGAGCAACACAAATCTCTTACATTTTATGAGAGTTACTTAACTTGTTGCTACAGGGAAATAAAGGCAAACTAACAAAATGTACAAAGTTTGTGCCCAGTCAACATTTTAATTTATAAGTTAAACAGTGTTAAGAAGATGTTTAATTGATGACAATCAAAGTAATCCCTTTGCTTACTTGAAAATCTATGGACAAAACATAAACTAAATACTTATTATTATTAGCCAATGTAAATTTTAGGTCTATAG